TTTGAGTCGACTCAAAAGTCACCTGCGAGCTCTACCAAGGGGCTGTGATGATGGGGAGGTGAGGCGGTGGGTGGGAATGGTAGGAAGGTAAGGAGATTTTACTTCGAACGGAAAAGGCAGTTGGAAACTGGTGCATCAGCCACCCCTCAAGTCATCCGCACACAGCTTTTTACATCGACTCAAAAGCCGCCCCTCAAGTCATCCGCACAAACACAGCTGGAACTTGTCAAGGTATCGTCAGCCTTGAATGCATCGGCTTCATAGAGGCCGCACGTCTTGCACTGAGCAGACTGCACTTGGCAGACTGCACTTGGCAGAGTGCACTTGGCAGACTGCACTTGGCAGAGTGCACTTGGCAGAGTGCACTTGGCAGACTGCACTTGGCAGAGTGCACTTGGCAGAGTGCACTTGGCAGACTGCACTTGGCAGACGCGAGCTCGACCAGGGGCTGGATGGATTCAGAGGGCAGGCATGAGTGGGGGAATGCAGAGTGGGTGGGTGCGAGGATGGTGAGTCAGTCAGCTGTCCCTCCTTGGCATGGCACCCCTCAAGTAGTCATCTGCACATAACTGAACTGAAACGTGTCGAAAGTGTCGCCGGCTTTGAATGTACAGGCCTTGTACAAGCCGCACGTCTTGCACTGGGAGAGGCGCGCTTGACCAAGGGCTGGGAGGGTCACGGTCACGGGGGAAGAGGGCATGAGTAAGAGAAGGAGGGATAGGTGGAGAGGGCATGAAGGTCAGGCAGGTGCCCTGAAGTCATCCGCACACAGCTGGAACTTGTCAGATGTATCGTCAGCTTTGAATGCAGCGGCTTCATATCGGCCACAGGTTTTGCACTGGGCAGATGCGAGCTCTACAAGGGGCTGTATGGGCAGGGGGATGAGTGGGGGAAGGTGGGAAGGTGGAGAGGGTTAGGTGGACAGGAAAAGGTGGGTGAAAACTGGTGAGTCAGCTGCCTCAAGGTCATCCGCGTATGGCTTGAACTTGTCAAAGGTATCGCCGGCTTTGAAGGTAGCCCACACGTGTTGGCCTTGAATAGCCCGCACATGTCGGCCTCGTATAGCCCACACGTGTTGGCCTTGAATAGCCCGCACATGTCGGCCTCGTATAGCCCACACGTGTTGCACAGGGCAGAGGCGGAAAGAAAGGTGGAAGGAGAGGGAAGGGGAGACGGTGACTCAGCTGCTTCAGCTGCCCCTAAAATTTTCAGCTGGAACAGCTGAAACCTACCTGAAACCCACCTGAAACCCTGCTGCCTGGAAGTCATTCAGCACGTCCTGCAACTCGCCTCAAATCAAACACCTGAAATTCCTCCTGGCCAGTGAGTTCAAAGGTTAGGTTAGCCCGCAGCACCCCCCGCAGCATGTGGCACATCTCAATGTCAGCTCCACCTCCTGAAACCCACCTGAAAGCACCTAAGGCCCACCTGAAAATCCTCCTGGCCGGTGAAGTTGTAGGTGAGATTAGCCTGCACCACCCCCTGCAGCACGTGCTTCATCTCCCCCTCGCACTGGAAGTAGACGGAGGGGTCCCAGGGCGAGTAGGGCGAGTCGTGTGTCGTGTCGAGGCGGAGGTGCGTTATGGTCACGTTGGCCGCTGATTGGGTGGAGTGGGGAGGAGAAAGGGTGGGGGTAAGGGGACGCTCAATTGGAAGGAAGTAGACGGAGGGGTCCCAGGGCGAGTAGGTTGAATCGTGTGTCGTGTCGAGGCGGAGGTGCGTTATGGTCACGTTGGCCGCTGATTGTGGGGGGGAGCGAGGGGAGGGTGCGGTGGGGAGAGGGGTAGGGGTTGGGGGAAGGGTAAGGGTATGGTAGGTGACACGTGCCTCATCTCGCCCTCGCACTGGAAGTAGACGGAGGGGTCCCAGGGCGAGTAGGGCGAGTCGTGTGTCGTGTCGAGGCGCAGATACGTTATAGTCACGTTGGCAGCTGCACAGGGACGAGTGGTAAACAAAGGCAGAAGGAGGGGGACGACGAGGGGGAGGGGGAGATGCGCTGAAAAAAACACTTTAAGGGCCCCGGGAGAGTAGGTTGAGTCGTGTTTCGTGAAAATCACTTTTGAGAATTCTCAAAAGTGATTTCCATATAGACGACGAGGGGGAGGGGGAGATGCGCTGAGCAAAAACACTTTAAGGGCCCGGGGCGAGTAGGGCGAGTCGTGTGTTGTGTCGAGGCGGAGGTGCGTTATGGTCACGTTGGCAGCTGCACAGGGAGGCGAGGGGAGAGAGTGGGAGGAGGGAGAGGGTGGGAGCGGAAAGGGTAGGAGGGTGTGGTGGGAGGAGGGGCAGGGGAGGATGCATTGCAAGCACCCCGAGGGGCGAAGACTCTGGTAGGAAGGAGGGAATGGGGGAGGGCGGGGAGAGGAGGGGATGGTGACTCAGTGAGGGAAGACTCTAATAACTCAAAGGGCCTACTAGACGTGAGCATGGAATACTCGACTTTATTGTCGCGTTTGCTGCGCAAGAGAGGCAGAGCGGAAAGGAGGGGAATGGAGCGGGAAAGGGGGGCCGGGGGGGTTGTGGGGGGGAAGGGTGGGGGTTGTGTGGGGAAGTGTGAATAGCGAGAGGCGAAAGTGACCGCCTTTAGGTCGACACAGAAGTAGAGTCGGTTCTGTCAGACGCGGTCTTTAGGTCGCTTACACAGAGCGGAGATGGCTGACAGACGCGATTGCAGCAGGATAGCGGAAAGGACGGGGAGGGGTAAAAGGGGAAGGGGGCGTAGAGGGAAAGGAAGGGAGGGTGTTTTAAAGAAGAACAGGGGGAGGGGAAACCGGGTGCATTACTAGAGGCTAATGGCATGAAACTCCCGGGAGCAATCGAGGAAGAATCACAGAATGGTCTTTTTGAAATTAATGCTAAATATCAGAATGGGATTCCATCTCCCACATCACTCGAGGGAGACAGAACCGTCCCGTCAAGGTTGCGACGAATCATACGCACCTCTCGCGACGGCTGCGACGAATGCGAGCACCATTGACGAGACCGCGACGCGCAAGAGCGACCATTCTAAGCATCGTGGCCGCGCCATAATCAAAACTTGTCGACTGCGGCGTAACGGAGTAAATATTTATATAATATAATATGAAGTCTTTCTTGTTCCTCCTATTCACGCTGGCAAATGGCGGTCCGTCGTGGCTTGGTTTAGAACCAATTACGGAGCAATCCTTACATTCATGGACCCCCCCCCCTGGAATTACCAGAGTGAATCTTGATGGATCCTAGGTTTTGCAAGACGTACTGTGTTTGTGTGTGCATTCCAATCGAGGGGGGACGAACCTCAGGGAGGATTCAGAAATTTACATCGAGTTGCTAGCGATCTTCATTGCGAGAAGGGGTTGACCTCAAGGCGATTCAAGGGCCGACCCCCAAAAGCCTGGCGTGTAAAATCGCCGCACCTAAAAAATTCGGCCACTAGCCAAATGGCCGGATTGGCGATAGTAACCCGTTTGCGAAAACTACGAAGACGCTCGCGACCGCCGTTAATTTCGCCCAAAAAAACGAAATTGATGGCCGTTTTGAAAGTCGACTCGTATCAGACACCATGTCGACTCCAATTCGGCCAAGTAGTCGACACCGTGAGCGACTGTCACGTACGACGTCGCACGGTCTCGCAGAACGACTGAAATGTTTTATCTTGTCCAATCAGAGTTTTCGCCGTCAAATGTGCGACCCCGTCGCACATACGTTCCTACTGTAGCAACTGCAATTTTTACAACTTTTCTAAACCGGCCTGGAATTCGGCCCTCAAACCTGTAAAGTTTGCAAATCTGCAAATAGTGGCTGTAAATGTGACGACACGAAGTCGACCAATCCGTCGACTTTCGCGAAAGAAATGTCGACCAATGGTCGACGTAAAACCGGCCAAAAGCAGATTTCGCATATTTGCGGGGATTTTACACGCCCTAATGCTGATACGGCATCCCTAGGTGTGGAATATATCAGGTTTATGGTATTTATTTGCCCTCCGTTACGCTTTTGGGTCCGTGCGGAGTCGTGGAACCCGAGCGAATCTGTGCCCAAATTCAACAAAAGACGTTACCATCATGAAACAAAGGCACATAATCCTCGGACGATTGTTACGAGTGGTAACAAAAGCCTGCTTCTGTTTCGGGAACCCCAGATGATGCGCCCGACGAACTGAAATGCATGGAAACCCTGCATGATGCCGTAAGACCTCGGGGCCCTATAAAACTACCAAACCGTCAATTAACTTCCTGAACCGCATGGAAATGTGTTGTTGCGAAACACCCTCACACACCATGCGACGTGACGACATCATGCCATCCCATGCCCAAAATGGAACCTGAACGCGTTCAAGCGCCCAGATTCCGGTCACATACACAATAACCTCGAGCCTGCCATTGCGAGGTGTCGCGAAAACTTAGCAGACACGTGATTTCATGGGTCAGCCGCCTTGCGAAAATCTCACGAAAACCCAAGGGTGTGACGAAGACCTGACTTCTTCGTCAACAATATTTTTCTCGGTTGTTATGCCGCCTTGGCGAGTATCAGGGTGGTTCTGCTTGAGCTTTTCACAAACCTCCATCTTTCTTCGTTTCTTGATAATGCAAGCACAGCACACACATCTAGTACCAAGAATAGGCTGCTATTTTCTTGACACAACGAGCGCACACTTCGTCAGGATAGGGCGACGTCTCGTGTTCCATCGATCTTCCCCGCATATCACGCTCTACTGGATACGTTGAACCCTCTTATAATGATTCCTGACCTGATAACCTCACAAGGTATATTCTAGTACGGTTAGTGATTTAACTAATGAAATTAATAGTGTAACTTTCTAGCGGTTCAGGCTGTCGTCGTCTCATTTTGAATTGAGCCGTTCAAACATGAAATGAGTCCTTGACTTGAGCTTGCATGGCTTTTCGGAGCGGCTCGTTCCTTTTAGATGCCATATTAAGCTCATGAGCTCTCGGAACGGCTAGGTCTGTCTAGCTGCCATCACGGTTCAAACATGGACTGAGTCTCTTTCTTAAGCTCGCATGGACGCCATAGCTTTCCATAGCGGCGGCTCGTCGGCGCGATCGCAAAAAATCACCAATCCGCGCGACCGTCGCTCGCCGTTCACCAATCCGTTTTGGCGACTTCAGCATCAGGAGCAGCATGAGCAGCATGAGCATCAGGAGCATCAGGAGCAGCAGCAGCGGCCGTTTGATCAAAACCAGCAGAATTCGGAAGAGGCGCAGCATGAGCAGGAGCAGCTGGAGCAGCAGGAGCAGCGAGATCGTTATCAGCAGCATCTGGAATTGACGGCTGAGAAGCTGCGGAGGGAGTTGGAGGCAATGCTCGTCGCAGATGTGGACAGAGATGTGGCGTTCCAGGTCAGACTACATACGAAAAGAAAATGCTTTTTTTTTTTTTGTTTTCTTCTCCTTGAAAAAGGGGGACAAGTTATGTGAAAAGGCGACTACTTTGTTTATTTACACGGCAGCTGAGCTTGCTACTTTGCTATTTTCCCATCCGGGCGGGCCCCTTTTTTCCACTGACCCACTCATCCATGACCGTTCTCCTCTGTCCCTACAATCACCCTTGCCACGTCAGCTCAAGCTGACGAGCAAGCTGGACCAATGGCACGCTTTTCACGAGAGAGCGACAAGAAGGCTTTCTGGTTCCGCGGACGGCGCTGGGCCTTCAACCAACCAAACCGCCGAGGTACAACCGCTGGAGGCTGACCAATCCGATGGTTCCACGTGTCCATCTGAGCAATCTGGTGATGAGGCCGAAAGTCGGGCAGCAGAAGCTGAGGCTCGGGCAGCAGAGGGTGTAGCGCAGGCAGCAGAGGGTGAAGCGCGGGCAGCATCAGGTGAAGCACGGGCGGCAAAGGGTGTTGCGCTGGCAGGAGCAGCAGCACTTGAAACGCGAGAGGCCAAAGCAGCAGAATCAGAGAATGCACCAGTCGCTCCAAAACAGCTGGAAGCAGCAGCAGATGCTCGAGGGGCTGCTTTGGAGGCCGCACTGCAGGTGCAACGAGAGGAGCTAGAGGCTAAGGCGGTAGTGATACAGGAGCTGCAGGTGAGATTACACGCAGCAGCAACCAGAGAGGCGGGTTTGGAAGCTTCTCTGAAGCTGCAACGGGAGGAGCTCGAGGCGAAAACAGCAGAGGCGTTGGCAGCACGAGCAGCAGAAGTGGCAGAGCTGCAGCAGCAGTTAGACGTGGCAGTCGTCCGCGAGGCAGCCTTTGACGCGTCCCTGAAGCTGCAGCGAGAAGAATCAGAAGCAAAGGCAGCAGAGATGCAAGACCTGCAGGAACAACTACAAGAAGCGGGTGTTAGAGAGGCGGCTTTTGACGCTTCTCTGAAGCTGCAACGAGAGGAGCTAGAGGCAAAGGCAGCAGAGGCGTTGGCGGCACAGGCAGGAATGGAGGAGAGGAGGCGGGTGCGGGCTGCAGAAGAGGCTGCTGCTCGGTTGGCGGAGGTGGAGGTGCGGTTTGGAGAGGTGGAGAGGGAGAGAGAGCGGTTGGCGAGGAATCTGAGTCGGCTGCAGCAACACCTGCTGGATAGGGTGAGTGGGTGATGATGGGGGAGGGTTGGGAGGGTGGGTGGAGGTGACTTTTGAGTCGACTCAAAAGTCAGCTGGATCGGGTGAGTGGGTGGTGATGGGGGAGGGTTGGGAGGGTGAGTGGAGGTGACTTTTGAGTCGACTCAAAAGTCAGCTGGATCGGGTGAGTGGGTGGTGATGGGGGAGGGTTGAGAGGGTGGGTGGAGGTGACTTTTGAGTCGACTCAAAAGTCAGCTGGATCGGGTGAGTGGGTGGTGATGGGGGAGGGTTGAGAGGGTGGGTGGAGGTGACTTTTGAGTCGACTCAAAAGTCAGCTGGATCGGGTGAGTGGGTGGTGATGGGGGAGGGTTGGGAGGGTGAGTGGAGGTGACTTTTGAGTCGACTCAAAAGTCAGCTGGATCGGGTGAGTGGGTGGTGATGGGGGAGGGTTGAGAGGGTGGGTGGAGGTGACTTTTGAGTCGACTCAAAAGTCAGCTGGATCGGGTGAGTGGGTGGTGATGGGGGAGGGTTGAGAGGGTGGGTGGAGGTAGTGGGGAGGGTGATGAGAAGAAACTGCACATCTGTGTCGGTAACAGCTGTAAGAATACTGCTGTAAGATCATCATACGTTTCCTGTATCTCCATTCCCCTCCTTTGTGATGTGTTCAGGATGCTGACGATGCACTGCGTTTGGAGCGAGAGGCTGAGAGGATATGCCAGCTGGAGTGCCAGCTGGCGGATAAGGCGAAAGCTCTCGGCCAATCAGAGTGCGAGAGGGTTGTTCTGGAGCGACAGCTGGCGGATAAGGCGAGCCAGCTCGGCCAATCAGAGCGGCGGAGAGTGCGGCTGGAGCAGCAGCTGGAGGAGAGGAGCAGGGAGGTTCGGGAGGCTCATATGCAGCTGGCTCAGCTGCAGGCTTGGGCCGAGCCTGCTGGACAGGCGAGGCAGATGGATTTGTGTGATAGGGGCCTATCACAAGTAGAAGGAGAGGGTGGGGTTGTAAGGGCAGAGGAAGCGGAGGAAGCGAGGGGAGCGGGAGAGGAGAAGCAGGAGAGACAAGGCATGAGCCAGAAAGAAGTGTTACTGAGCGTGGCACCAGGCTTGTCAACAGGCTTGGGAACAGGCTCGGCGGCAGCAGGCACGTTACCAGGCATGTTACCAGATGTGTTACGGCAGGTGTTAGAAGCGGCTCATCGACCAATCGCGACAGGCCATCCCATGTGCATGCATGCTGGGATGTTGGCGAGCGTACCACCCATGGAGGATGGAGATGCATCACATGCTGCTGACGTGGCATCCCATCATGCATCAGGGGCAGGGACAGGGGCAGCAGCACCAGTTGCAGGTGCTCGTGCTGCTGATGGGTCAGCATCTGCAGCACCATCAGCTTCATATGCGGCAGATGCTGCAGCAGCATCGTGTGTTGATGCATGGGCTGCAGCAGCTTCACACGCTGCAGCAACACCAGCTTTTGAGCAGGCGCGTCAAAACTCGGCGCAGGTGTTGGCTCGAGAGGCGATGTGCCTAGCAGCACAGTCATCGCTGGAGGCAGAGGGTGCGATTACAGCAGGAGATGCAGCAGGATCAGTGTTTGAACAACTGTCACCATCCGATTCACCAGCACCATCACCATCACCAGTCACGTTGCGCCATGGCCAGCCCTTTCAGGTCTTGCTACCAGCACAAGCCGAGCCCATACAAGAATCTGCGACGCAACAACAAGCCTCTTCACAAGAAGCCTCTTCACAAAAAGCCCTTTTACAAGAACCAGTAGTCTTCCAACCCCATCAACCCCACGAACATGCGTCGACCATATCGCTCTCCCACAAGGCCGTATGCAGCCCTGAATGGCATCAAACCACGCAGCACAGGGTGCACCCGAGTATGTCCACCCCCTTACTCAGTCTTGAAACTCGTCTCTCCAGGGGAGAACAGCATCGCGAGACGACAGGGAGGCCGGGACCTGGTGTGGCTGAAGCAGGGAGGGAGTGTGAAATAGCAGCTCTGGTGGAGGAGAATGGGAGGCTGGAGGCGGAACGGAATCGGGCGGAGGAGGAGAGGGCGAGAGAGGAGGAGAGGTGTGCGAGGATGGGTGAGGAGATGCGTGAGCTGCGAGGCAATCTGCAGGTGTGTTTGTGCGAGCTTTGGTTGCTGGTAGATTTGAGGCGCCTCAAAACTGCGTGATCTGCGGGGCAATCTGCAGGTGTGTTTGTGTGAGCTTTGGTTGCTGGTAGAAGAGAAGGCGTTATGCTGGTAAAGGAGGCGTTATCTGAGGCAGGACATAGCATGTACTGTCTTCATCTCCCCTCCTCGTCCCTGCCTGTTTCCCTCTCAACCGTCAGCAAGCAGAGCCGTTATGCTGGCCGAGGAGGCGTTATCTGAGGCAGCACAAGGCATATACTGTCTTCTTCTCCCGTCCTTTCTCTCCTCCTCGCCCCTGCCTGTTTCCCTCCCACGCATCAGGAGGCAGAGGCGTTGTGCTGGCAGCGGCAGGCTCAACTGGAACAGGCGTTATTTGAGGCAATACAGAGCATCTAATGATTCCTTCCCGCTCGTACATCCCCTCCCGTTTGTTCCCTCACATCAGGAAGCGGAGGCGTTATGCTGGCAGAGGCAGGCTCAACTGGAGGAGGCGTTATCTGAGGTGGCAGCGGGGAGGAGGGAGAGGGGGGCACTAGAAGAGGAGCTGCTGCGGCTGCAGTGTGCTCTGGATCAGTGTATGCTGCGACTCAATAGCGATTCTGCTTATATGGTGGACAGGTAAGAGATGCTCATTGGGGCACGTGCAATTCCATGTTATATCTATGTTTTCTTTGCTTCTGGTACTGCTATGGTGGCGGTGCCATCATGTCTTGTTATGACGTCGTACTATCACGAGTTTCCTGTTGCTGCTACCAACAAGTTGGGGCATCGTTGTGAAGCTGTTTTTCTTCCTTCCTTCCTTCCTTCCTTCCTTCCTTCCTTCCTTCCTTCCTTCCTTCCTTCCTTCCTTCCTTCCTTCCTTCCTTCCTTTCTTTCTTTCTTTCTTTCTTTCTTTCTTTCTTTCTTTCTTTCTTTCTTTCTTTCTTTCTTTCTTTCTTTCTTTCTTTCTTTCTTTCTCTTTATACTCGCTTGGAATTACTTTTACCATGGCAGGAGAATCGTGGTGAAGCTGCTGGTGGCATACTTTCAACGCAACCGCAGCAGAGAGGTGAGCACGTGGGTGTGGGCAGGGACATGTGTGCACTGTGCAGGCTGTTATGTGCTCTGTAAGCAACTGCCATGGTTCACGAGAAGCATATTGTGCGAGGTGACTTTTGAGTCGACTCAAAAGTCACCAGGCTGTTATGTGTCTGAAAGCAACTGCCATGGTTCAGGGGAAGCATATTCTGTACATTGTGCGTCCCACAACAGGTGCTTGACATCATGTGTCGCATTCTCGAGTGCTCCAAGGACGAGAGGCAGCAGCTTCCCACGTCAGTCTCACCAGAAGCACTCTTGTGAGGCGCCTAAATCTCTCTCTGTGCATCATGCGCCCCACCAACAGGTGCTAGACGTCATGTGTCGCATTCTCGAATGCTCCAAGGATGAGAGGCGGCAGCTAGAAGCAGCAGCTTTCCACCCCGCTCTCACCAAAAGCACTCTTTTAAGGCTCCTAAAGCATCTTCTGTGCATTGTGTGACCCACTACAGGTGCTTGACATGACATCATGTGTCGCATTCTCGAGTGCTCCAAGGATGAGAGGCAGCAGCTCGAGTTGGCAGCTTCCTTTCCATTGCACCACCCCACTCTCACCAGAAGCGGTTTCCCGAGGCGCCTAAAACACCAATTGTGCCCCAACTGCACTCAATTCCAAGCCCGCGTTCCATGCCATGCGCCCCTCAACAGGTGCTTGACATCATGTGTCGCATTCTCGAATGCTCCAAGGATGAGAGGCAGCAGCTAGAAGCAGCAGCTTTTCACCCCGCTCTCACGCTCTCTTTTGAGGCCCCTAAAGCATCTTCTGTACAACGTTTGCCCCTCAACAGGTGCTTGACATCATGTGTCGCATTCTCGAATGCTCCAAGGACGAGAGGCAGCAGCTCGAGCTGGCAGCTTCGCAGCCTGCTCTCACCAGAAGCGCCAGTTTCAAATCCAAGGGGAGCGTGCGGCAGGGCAGCAGCAAGGGCAGCAAGGGAGGAGTTTTCGGGCTGCCCGGACGGATCGCAGGCGGGTTTATGGGGTCGAATAGGAGCAGTTCAGAAAGTTTGGGAGGGGCTGGGAAAGATTCCCAGAAGCAGGAAGAGGTGGAAAGAAAGCCAGAGGCGAAAAAATCAGGGGTAAGATTGTGCATGACTTGCCTTTCCTTCACATCTGCTTCGAAAGCTGTCACTTGCTGTGATGAATTTCCAGGATTCATGCTTCCGTGTTCAACCACCTGCAGTTTGAGATTAGTTTTGAGAATTCTCAAAACTAATCTCAAACAAAATGAATTTCCAGGATTCGTGCTTCCGTGTTCAACCACCTGCAGTATGAGATTAGTTTTGAGAATTCTCAAAACTAATCTCAAACAAAATGAATTTCCATGATTCGTGCTTCTGTGTTCAACCACCTGCAGTTTGAGATTAGTTTTGAGAATTCTCAAAACTAATCTCAAACAAAATGAATTTCCAGGATTCGTGCTTCCGTGTTCAACCACCTGCAGTCTTTCACAGGCTTTCAGGGTGGATTTTCTTGTGGAGGAGACAGATGATGACAAAAGAAACTTATAAATCCCCCCGCGCACATTCTTTCTCCCTGTGCTTCCTGTCTCATAACTCTAAACCCATACCCCATACCCTGCGGTCCCTCGCTGACCTTTGGGTGGATTTTCTTGTGAAGGAGACAGACGATTAGAGAGAGCGGAGTTAGGGCCAACAGCAGCAGCCACATTAGCAAGGAGAAAAGCTCAAGTTTCTTTGTCTCTGTGTTCTCCTTGTGCTCGTGTCTCCTTCCCTGCAGTCCCTCACTGACCTCTGGGTGGATTTTCTTGTGACGGAGACGGACAATGACAGAGAGCGGAGGCAGGGCCAGCAGCAGCACCAGCAGCAACAGCAGCAGCAGCAAGAAAGTGGCAATCTTAGAGCAAGCAGGAGCTCTCCTCCAGATTCCAATTCTTCTACCGACTCACGTTCTTGTAACGAAGGGCCTCGTCCCCCACAGCATCCAACGTACACTACCAGACAGAGCTTGCCACCCAGGTCTCCATCCCACCAACAGCAGCACATGTACCAACAGCAGCAGGCGAGACACACCCGATCACCCTCTTATCCCCCAAGGTCTCCTCCCTACCCGCCACGATCCCCATCGTACCCTCCTAGATCGCCTCGCTGCTCCTCTCCGGGATTTTCCCCTCGTTCTCCGGCCAGCCCGTCCAGAGTTCCTGGTCATGCTGCGTTGTTTTTCTCGCCAGGCAGCCCGCCTCTCCGGTTTTCAAGCTTGTCTCCTCGCTCTCCTTATGCCACCAACCTCTCCGTTAGCAGCAGCCCTGTTTCATAGAGTTCCTTCTCAGATGTAGAACAATGCATTTGTTTTTTCCTGTTGCGAAATTATGGAGTAATTCCATGTAAAGCTTACCTTACCCCTGACTGAATTTAATATTGAGAGTTTGGGTTACGGAAGTGCGGAAGTGTTCCAGTGTTCTTTGTACATTGTATTACAAATAACGGGTCAATCACTGTTACTTGTTGTACGTCTCTCAGCTCGGACCTGCTGTGTTCGAGTGGCAGTTTGGGCAGCTTCTATGAACACGTGGCAAGGCAAGGTGCTTGCGTTCGTTCCCTTCCCTCCCTCCCTCCCCTCCCACAGGCAGAAGTGCGCTGCAGTGCGTGCGTTACCGAAAGTTTGCAGTTCCCTTCGTACGGCCACTATTGTTCGCGTCAGCCGCATCGAGCTGCTTGTTGTGGGGGGAGGAGACGGGGAGATGAAATTTCGCCGTTACAGGCATCTCACAGCGGCAGTGACTGCCAGCTAGGCCTTGGGCTACTGTAGTTGGCGGTCCAGCCGAATCTGTCTGCTCTGCCTCCCACAGGCATCTCCCATAATCCCTCCCGTTCCCCCAGCCCAACCATGCAAGTTGGAGAAGGCTGGGAGGGAGAGGGGAGGGGAGGGGGAACAAGGACAGCCTAAGAGGGGAGGGTAGGCGGGACAGGGAGGGACAGAAGTGGGAGTGGGGTGGGGGGGTGGAGGAGGCCTTGGGTGGAGAGGGGAGGGAGAGTGGGGGGGATGCGGGAAGGTGGTGGCTGGCAGGTGCAGTTCGTTTGTTGATCGACATCCCAGAAGCAAATCAACTCTCGCGAATATGTTACACCTGGCCCGTTTCCTGAGATGCCACTGGTGGTGCCGTTTCTTCGCGTGCGAACGAATCATGTTCGTTCGTACGGTTCGGAAACCGCCTCTTTCTGTATCTTCTCCAGTCGTGCTGTACGAGACAAGTGACTGCCCCCCACACTTGTACACCATCCGTGCTATGCCCTTTTCACGGGCAGGAATATTTTTTGCTGTGTGGATGATTTAATTTTACAGCTGTTCTGCTCTGTAAGATTTGCGGATGTGGAGTGCGCGTGGGGGGCATCTTTCACGTCGACCACCCAACCCTTCTGTGTGTGCAGACCGAAGTGTAGCCTCATCTCATTGCAACTACAAAACGCGCATTTTGTATTGTTGTGCTTGTTGACAAATCACCGAATTACACGGCTCTGCGGAAACAGACACAGCTGCTGATGTTCTGGGTGGACATAAAACTTGTTTCCACAGCATTTCAATGTCAAGCCTTTCCACAGCACGGAATACCTACCGCCCGCGATGATTTCTCTCTTACCTAAACATCTCAGAACAAGAACTCTGTCAACTGGCATTTCACATAATTTTCGTTATTTTTATTTCGAGATTCAAACACGTGTAACCGCTCTGTTCAACCAGTGTCGACTTTCTGCGACCCCCACACTTGGCGAAATCGTTTCAAATCTCGAGTTTCAATTCATTGGGGAGGACGTACTGTACAGTATTGTGGAGGGTTTTCCAAGTTCAACTGAACTAACCACACTGCGCCGACCACTACCTGAGGAGTACACTTTGTTCCGTTTCGATTTGATAGGATTTCTGGGTCAGAAAGAAGGCAAGAATCGTCTTACGAATAACAGAACAATCGGTATAGCATGGTAAAAACGCTTTCGCAATTGTTCAAAGCGTTTTCCGGCGGTGGTGAAGAGAGAAGACTCGAGAGACTCCCCGTCAGCAGCGGCATCGACAGCGTGAGAGCAGAGAGCAGAACAATGGATGGCTGGCGCGATGCGAGGAGCAAACAAGAACGGTGCAGGCAGCGAGAGTGAATCAAGCACAGCTTTCGTCAGCAGCAGCCCTCTCAGAACTTGGGCGCAGCTGTGCATAAGAACGAAGAAAACCACACCCATCTGTCACTCATCCCACTTTCATCGCTCTTCCTGACCAGTCGTCCTTGAACAACCCTCCAACAACAGACGTTCCTATCGCCGAATTTTCTTGGATCTCGTCGAAAGCCCTCACAGTGCAAACCCTCTCGTACCATAAACAGCTGCAGCTCGATTTTGCACAAATTGCGTCGCGTAGATCAACCACCCTCTCGCAGCCTAAAATTTCTCCTTGATTTCTGAATTCATTCACATTTCCACTTACGCAGCGCTGAATTCATTCATATAACTTTACCAGGACAATTGTCCAATACCACTGCCCACTCGTACTCGTTCCACGCCATTTATTCCACGTTATCTCACTATAACTCCGCCAATGACGCCTCCTAACTCCACGCGCGTCCGCGTTCCAGCGTCCAATAGCGTGCCATCACCGTCGTCCTCGGCCAATCAGCGCCGCGTCGACGACGTTCTCTCCCGCTTCTCGCGGTCCGCGTCCGTTGATGGCGGCTCGTCCACCGAGTCAGTACCCTTCGAACCGGCGCAACGGTCATCGAGCCACTTCAACTCTCCCTCGTCGTCACGTCGCCTCGCGGTTCGGCTACTCGTCGGTGGTGTCGAGTCGCTACAAGTACCCTCGCCAAGGCCGCCGTCGCCGTCGCCGTTGCTGTCGCCGTCGCCGTCGCCGCACCGTATGGGGGTGGACTATTCGGTCCCTTCGCCAAAACTTCCGCCGCGAAAGACGCGGCAGCAGTCGAATCCCGGCCACATTTCCCCCTGCTCGCCTTCGTCGCCCGACTCGCGGTTGCTTCGCAAGGACCCGCACCACGAAGAGAGCCGCGAGGAGCGCCGCGAGGAGCGGCGTCGTCTGCGCAAGGTCTCGCAATCGGAGCGCCCCGAAAGGCCGAGCCGCCACTACAACAGCTCCTCGTCGCAGCTCGAGCCGCGTCAGCAGCAGCGGAGCATTTTAAAGTCGTCGCCCCCGCGAGAGTCGGCATGGGAGGTATGCGACGCGCTCAGTCACACGAGCGTCGCAGCTGCAATGGCCGAGTCGCCGTCATCCCCGCTAACAGCAGCCTCGCGACTCTGTAAAAGCAAGCGCAGCTCAAGCAAGTGTAACGTCGCTGCGGAAGCGGTGGTTGCGGGCCTTGAAGTCACCGCAGCGGCTGCCGCGGCGGCAGATGCGGCGAGGGACGGGCATTGGCTCGCAAGCGGGTTCGAGGAGCTTCAGAATAAGCTCGAAGCGTTCTCAGTTACCACGCAGCAGCTGGCGGTCTCGCTGGAAGAAGCTCGGAAGGAGGCCCGCGAATCGCGGGAAGCCATGGATGCGGCTCGGGCGGAGCGCGATTTGCTGGTGGTTGAGATGGAGGCCACGCTGGCAGCGTGGTCCACGTCGGACGCGGAAAAGGCGGAGGAGCTGGCGCGGGTAGAGGCAGAGAAGATAAGGGTGGAGATGGAAAATGGGGAATTGAAACGTGAGTTATTGGAGACTAAGAGGCAGTATACGGAGATTAAGAGGCAGCTGGAAATTATGAGAGCAGAGAGGGACGCGGCTGTGACTCATGCTAGGGTTGCTGTGGCTAGAGCAGCTGCTGCTGCTGGTGGTGCCGGTGTCTCTGGTGCTGGTGGTTCAAGTGAGTCTTTGCCTCGTGATAGCTCCTCCTACCTTCGCCCTCGGCAACCGTGCTTCACTCCCCTCCTCACGGATCAAGCGGAGGAATACAGCAGCAATGGCAACAGCAGCTGTAGCTTTGCTGGAAGCAGTGCCGGCAGCAGTACCAGCACTCGCAGCCCTACTTCCGGGAAGTACAGGGGTGAGTTAAGAGGCAAGTACAGCACAAGCGGTGCAACTGGCAGCAGCAGCAGCTGCAGCCTCTCTGAAATCCTGACTCGGGAACCACAGGGGTCGTCGCAGGTGGCGGCTGGGGGAGGAGGCAGCAGTGGGGGGTTGAAGAAGATGCATAGGTCTCATGATGCGCTGCCGGCGTATGGGAATGTGGAAGATGGGAGGGTAGTTGTTCCCCAGAAGCACGTTCAGTGGTCTGAGCAGTGCTGCTGAAGGGTTGCTCTTGACACAGTGTCCCAGTTTTTGATAGCGTCCAGTGTCTGCATTGTACAATATTGTACATAAGCTTTACATGTGATGTGACCTGGGCTTTACATTCATCATCAGCCTACCGTGTGACAACAGACCCGCACATCTGCAAAAATCTGGGTGCTGTGCAAATCTATTCTGCAGCAATATATGTGTGCCCATGCACATCCGGCAAAAAACTTGCACATCCTGCCTAAAATATGCGCATCCTAAGAAAAACTGGGTGAAGATGGGACTCATCTGTTCCATAATTCTTCAAACAATGGTAGGTACTTGTGTTCCATTCCATGCATGATATCGGTAAGAGAACAGCGAGCTTTACCACCTAAAGCTGCATTACGTGAGAAAGGTGCAAGGGAGAAATATTCACAGCACAGTATTACAGTCCACAAAAGCGAACACTGAGACTGATGCTGATACTGGTAGTTGAGTGTCAAATTACAGACATCATACAAAAGAATCACAATCCCTGCTGGAAGGACCTTCACTCTTTCTTGCCGATCCCAAAAGACATGTTGAACAAGCCCCTGCCCTGCAACCCACCAGCAGCACAAAAGGGAACGGAACCAGGTAACAGATGCTAAGTATGACCAGAGGAGACGACCAAAGGAGACGAACCTCAAAGATCGCAGAAGATACAAAACGGCCGTTTATGGCCAGTGACCTTCCTTTGAAAGTCCCGACTCTCATGCGCTCTTAGTCAAGAGTCCTTATGAAAAATGCAGCGCGAACGAGAGGGCCAAAAGCGTTCGCACTGTGCAGGTCGTGAGAGTCCGTACTTTCGATAAGCGCAGCGAAACTCTGTTCGAGTTGATGCGCCTCAGGATGAGCATGGTGCGCGCACCGTGAGAACGGACGGAACATTTTTGAGGTGCTTCAAAAGGCGAGTTCATGCGGTAGAGTGCGATCTCGTGGGCGGAAAGCTTCTGACAATAAGCACGGCAGCGACCAGCGCGAGCATGGATGGAATGACGACGATCGTGATCCGATCACCGGGAGTCGGGACCCCTCATGTGCGTGAAGGATCGAGCTGACTGCAACGGATTCCGCTCACTCAGAGCGATTCTACGTTCTACACTACGGTTCAAAGAGGTCCAGAGCGTCCAGTACGGGGCCACAGCATCCTGTCTTACAATGAGCGCGGCGGCGGTCAGTGCGAGCACGGACGGGATGACGACGCTCGTGATCCGATCGCCGGGACCCTTCATGTGCGTCAATGCGCGGGCCGACTGCAGCAGCTTCTGCTGCTCCCGAAGCGCACTGCTGACGTCCGTCATGGTGAGCGCTTCGCTCTGCTGGTTGCGAAACCGGTTGAGAAAAAAACACGATGGCGAAAACAAATGAACAACGATAAGATCGAGCGAGTATTGTCACGCGGTAAACAGAATAAGACTGCGGCTTCCAGCAATCGGACGACGAAAAACCGAGAGAGAAAAATTAGGCTTGTTGATACACTGGAAGCAGAGTACTTACGGAAAGATTAATCGACGGAACGTGAGGGATGGTGGCCGGTTTCACGAAGAGGCGGCGTAGAGATGGCTGTACGGCAGCAACACTAGGCAGGTATCTTGAAGAGTCTGTATCCTTTTGAACTCTAGGGTTCCGCTGTGGAGTCGAGCTCAGACGGGGGAAGCTAGAGCTTGTCAGGGTGTACGCGCTGTTAGACGATGCCTCAGGAAGTATACGCATGCAAAAGCCTGAGGCAACAAGGATTGCTATATGGGGGCAAAATAGTAGAATGCAAGCCGAGGCATGAGGTAAGCAATAAACAGTAGAAGGATAAAGCACTAATATTTAGCCGTTCTTCAGGCTTAGCGCGAAGGAGTTGGCAGCGGAGCAACCAGGATGACGCCAGGAAAGTGAATCCTTAAGATTACAAATATAACAAGAGGCCTCACTCACATCACATCACAACACAAGCCTCTAACAAACAAAAAGTCCACACGCATTCACCCTAATAAACTCCCTCGGGAAGACTTTATATTAATGTAAGTATTCATCCACCTTACATGAGCATGCCCTGCCCACTTATTAAACTACACCACGACGAGCATTGCAGTTGTGGAAGATTACTTGTGTCTTACTGCTCAGCATTAACACGCCCAGCTTCATCTATCCATTCAGAGAACCTGCGTCGAACAGGGAGGGGATAATTTGGTGATATATATCACCTCATTTCATGCAGAGATATGTGCTTGAGTGACAGTGAACACATGAAGGCAGAGAGCGAGGAAAGAGGAGGGGCGAATGTCATGGATGTGTGAAACGACAGGAGGTGGATAGAGTGGACGCATGGGCCAGGATAGATTCAGAGGCAGGTCACGTACAGGTCAATTGGCTCGCTCAAATCTGTTGGTGATGCAGAGCAGCAGCGGACAATTATGATGAAGTCCAACGCCGCCAAGAATAAGGTGGTCCCAAGTTGAGCATTTTGTGACAGAAGTTGGATGGCAAGACGGAAAAAAAGGGCGGCAAGGAAGGTGGAGAGGAAAATGAAAAGGGGGATACAGGGGGGAAGAATACGGGTAACTAAGCCACAACGACGGAAGCGATGCAGTAAAAACTGATGAGAAAAGACGAAAACCATAACGAAACTGGATGGGTGGATGGATGGATGGATGGATGGATGGATGGATGGATGGACAAACAGACGGATGGGCGGATAATTGTGCACGCACTGTCAATGGTGGTTTGGTACTGCTCGGAGCACACGCGGCACGACACCGTCCCTATGCCTGCATTTCGGTCCCTGCACAGCAACGCAACGCAATTGTCCAGCCGATCGTAAAAGTGATCGTCAGGGTGATTGGGAACAGAAAAGCGATCGAAATACCGGGACGCGATCAGACGAACGAGCCACGGATAAAATGATAACATCCAATACTGGCTGAGGCAAGCGGGGCAAGCGAAAGCCGCTGTAGGCGCTTCAACGGCCAGCACGCTGTGTTGGACGGAAGAGGAATGCGGCTTATGGCAGTCAGAGAGTTTAAGCCTGCAGTCGCGCGAAAGCACGTGGCGTTCACCAGTCGGAGAAATACGGAGTTCTGAAGGCGCAGTGCTGCGAATAGTTACTACTGCGCCCGTTGCACATACAGCGGACGCTCGTTCCACGTACAGCGGACGCTCGTTGCACATACAGCGGACGCTCGTTCCACGTACAGTTTGCACTCGAGGCTGGCCTCGTGATTGCAGAACGGGCAGTTGAAAGTCGTCGGGACCTTCTGAACCCTCCTCGCCTCGGGCTTCGCAGCCGACTTTCGCTTCCCCATTTGCAGCGACTCGGACTCGGACGCGCAGGCGAACTGTTAGCGGCGGCACTGGACTGAAACTTCTCAGAATTCTTAAGAACTTACTGAGTCGTCTCAGAGTCTCCTACTGGAGTTTGGCACTAGAGTCAGGCAAGGCGAAATAGCGGCATTCAAGCAGTCGCGACTATGCTAACTTGATATAATAAAATCCGTAAGAATACAACAACGAGTACTCGTAGGCTCTGCTTACGGGGTACGTAGCTGTTAGGGACAAAAAATAAGGTTCTCTCTGGCAGTCTTCTGACCTAGTGACTCTGAAGGAGGAGCTAAAAGCCACAAGGGGAATAATTGATGGTGAAGCGGGAAAACGAAGTCTGCGTGATATTAACTGAAACGAAAGGCTGTGCGCAATACGTCATGGACCTATCAGCGAAAGGAAAAAAATGGTGGTGGTCTTTAATCTCTTCGCCTTACCTCAATAGTAGCAGCCGTGTGAGAGGTAAAGTAAGGGGAATTGCTTTGTTGGCCGATCAGGTGAGTTCTGATGCGAACGCGACGGGATTTGCAACTATTTCTTCACGAAGTTACAGAGTACACTCGGACAAGCTATTTGTTGCACGCAACAAAAGATTGTTTTTCGCGTCTGGTGCACGGCTGGTCCGCGAAGTGCATATGATTTTTTTGCCACGGACCAGGTCAGCACGGACCACTCACACGAGAGTAGCCCTACTTTTGAGTGCCCCCTGAACTTTTGGCAACTCCCAACCCTGACTGGTCACAAGAAATATTGTCTGCTTCACTCTACCCCGAAGGGCCAGGCGTACCTGCTTCGAGGGAGGGGACGCGCCCTAAAATCTTCGTCATGCTTCGAGCTGACGGTGCGATGAGCGTTCGTGATGTAGATCCGTTGTGACGATCAGCTCGTAGCTGTTCGTCATCGGCAACGAAAACCGTCAGGGTCCGTCAGTAACAGCCGGCACGATGCTGGACGTCGCGCCGCTCACGTTCCTAGTGGTCTTCATCGTTTGTACCGTGGGAGCATGGATAGTCTCCAAGTAAGATAATAAATTCAATGCCAGCTTCTTGAATAATTTCCAATCAATTTCTGAAACACCAGAAGCTCCAATGAAATAGATGCGACACAGTGACAGCTCGTTGCGCAGAATATGAAAGATCGCTCCAGTTGATACACACTGCACCGTCCCATTGTTCTCGATCAATGCTTCACGATTTTCGGCTATGTTCGTCCGGCATCACCCTGATACTCAGGATAGCTAAAGCCTTGCTTATCCACGTTGTGAAACCCCCGTATACAAATTCTTCTGAACGCAGGTTCTTCACGCAGATTGTGACCCTCGCGATCAAGGTTACCACAGGAAATTCGTTGAGCTTTCGCGTGCTTGGCCTCTTGAAGGTCAAGGATATCCATTGCGCCTTCAAAAAGGTCCGTCACTTCCTCCTTTTCACTCTCTCTACCCTCGTTAACTTCAGCTCCAGCACAAGCACCCTTCGTTAACACGAGTCAAACTACACTACAATGCTGCACATTGTTCAACATAATGCTGCAGAGTCTACAGTCCCGCGCATTGTTCAATACCATCCATTGCTGCAAAAACTCTCCCATGTCTCCTGTCCCCCACGACAACAGGGTCCGATACAGAGCGTGACTATACGCGAGGTGAAGGGCCACCTGGCATCCCTGAGCAGCCTGCGCGTCAAGATCAAGGAAGTCGACATCGTGCTCCACCCCCCGCCTTCCTCCACCTCCTTTTGAGGCGCCTGAAATGAACAGTCCCCCTACCGCCCCCCCGCCCCCCACCACCTCCAAAAGAGGCTCTTACTAAGCGCCTCAGAAACTCTCTCATGTCTCCCGTCCCCCACCCACACACAACCACACCAACAGGGTCCCATACAGAGCGTGACGATACGCGAGGTGAAGGGCCATCTGGCATCCCTCAGCAGCCTCAAGCTGCGCCTGCGCGTCAAGATCAAGGACGTTGACATCGTGCTCCGCCCCTCGCCCCCCTCCACCTCCAAAAAGAAGAAAAAACCCTCCAAAAATGCCTCCAGCAGTGGAGGATCCGCAGCCAAGGGCCCGGCCAGGAAGGCCGGGGCGATTGCCGCCGCCTGGGGCCGGTGGAAGATTCTGGGGAGCTTCTCCCGGGTGGTTCGGGTGTGCCTGTTTGACGTGTCTGTGCGGTGGGCTCAGGCCCCTGACGTGTGCTTCCAGCTGAGGGAGTTTGACCTGTTCTCCACGGCTGATGCCTCGGGGAAAGGGCAGGTGGCTATGCGATTGGAGCTGCTGGGAATCTCGCTCTCTCATCGCCCCCCTGTTTCTGAGAAGAGCCCTGGGCTCCGATCTAGATCGATGAATCTGTTCAGGATTGGCGGTGGGGGTGGGGGTGGGGAGGAGGGAGAGGGGGAAGGAGAGTGGGATGGTGGGGGAGAAGGGAGGGGAAGAAGAAGTGTGGGGGGAGGAGAGGGGAGTGGGGATGATTCGCTGCCGTTGATGCTGCTGGAGAGCTGGACGACTGATGTGGCACTAGGGTTTGACAGGTCAGCAGTCTATGAGCATTTTCATTGCAGGCCAACGTTTTTATCACAGGTCAACTGTGATATTCACACGTCAGCTTTTAAGAATCCTCAAAAGCTCTGACTCCTCTTCTCCCTCTCCATTCGCCCTCTCCATTCTCCATCCTCCCGCGCTCGCCCCGGGGGAGGTGGGCATAGCGTTGCGGTTGGTACAGCTGCACTGGTCAGAGCTCGAGCTGAACCTCTCGCCTCGTCCCTCACACTCCCCTTCTCCCTCTCCTGCTCCATTCTCCATCCTCCCTCCCTCACCCCCAGAGAGGTGGGCATAGCAGTGCGGCAGCTGCAGCTGAACTGGTCGGAGCTCGAGCTGAACCTCTCTGAGCGTCTGCTCGCCCTGCGCATTGTCAAGGCCCCCAAGCGCCCCCCTGCCGCCCAGCCCCCTGTTCCTGCTGCACCCGTGGCTGTGGCTGCGCTTGCCCCTGTGCTGGTGAACGAAAGGAAGCGCCCCAACCTCCCAGAAAAGGTATGTTGCCGTGCCGCCCACTGCCCTTTCTGAGCGCCTGCTCGCCCTGCACATCATCAAGCCCCCCAAGCGCCCCCCTGCCGCCCAGCCCCCTGTTCCTGCTGCACCCGTGGCTGCCGCGGCAGTTCCTGTGCTGGTGAACGAGAGAAAACGTCCCAACCTCCCAGAAAAGGTGCGGTGATGTTTTCTTTCTACTCAGGCTAGGGCAGGGCTTTACCTAGGCTTTGAGACCCTTTTGCATGCCGCACCTGTGGCAGTAGCAGCGCATGTTCCTGTGCTGATGAACGAGAGGAGGCGTCCCAACCTCCAAGGAGAAGGTGTGTGTAGTGCCTGGCAACCAGCTCCTCTGGAGGCTTGCACCTCCTGCTCTCCTTTCTCCACTTGCTCCTCCTGCTCTCCTTTCCCCACTTGCTCCTCCTGCTCTCCTTTCCCCACTTGCTCCTCCTGCTCTCCTTTCCCCACTTGCTCCTCCTGCTCTCCTTTCCCCACTTGCTCCTCCTGCTCTCCTTTCCCCACTTGCTCCTCCTGCTCTCGTTTCTCCACTTGCTCCTCGTGCTCTTCCTTCCCTGCACCAGGTGCGTGCAAGAGTGGAAGTAATTATGTCTCGCATCATGCCCTGCCCCCCTCATCGCCCTTCTTCCCGTTTTCGCCCCATTCAACCCTGCACCAGGTGCAAGTGACCCTACCACGAATCATGCTGCGCCTCTGGCACCACCGCTGCGGCCCCCTGCTGCGGTCCCATCACCCTCTCCTTGCACCCCCTGCCCCCCCTGTCCCCATTCCCCCCTGCACCAGGTGCAAGTCACCCTACCACGAATCATGCTGCGCCTCTGGCACCACCGCTGCGGCCTCCTGCTGCGCAGCAGCTGTGGCCCCATCACGCTCTCCTCCACGCTCTCCCGCCCGGCTCCTGACCTCTCAGTCATCGAGGCTGATTTCAGCATCGGCATTGTGGAGGTGAGTGAGCTGACAGGGAAGGACGCTGATAGGAGTGATAATGAGACACCTGAAGAACCACCACCCTCTCCTTTCTATTCTCTCCTGCCCGGCTCCTGATCCCTCTGTAATCGAGACTGATTTCAGTATTTGCATTGTGGAGGTGAGTTGATAGATAGCAAAGCGCGCTGATGGTATTGTGAAAGTGGGTGGGGTGTTGAATCTTGAGAGTCGTTTTCTATGAGCCACTTTGCCGTTCCACACCGTCACCCCGCCTCTACCAATCGCCCCTCCCCTCTCCCACTCGCTCCTCCCCTCTCCCACTCATTCCTCGCCTCTCATCCCTCCCCATTTTTACTCATTCCCCTCCCTTCCAACTCATTACTCCCCTCTCCCACCCATTCTTCCCTACTTTCCCTCGCACTCCTCACCACCCCTCCCCTCCCTCCCTCTGTTGTCTTCCTGCCACCCATCTCCCCAGGTTCTGAAGAGCGCCGAGGGTAGTGCCCTGTCAGTCATGCGTGTATCGTCATCAGCTTGCCTCTCCTTCCCACACTATGTGAGTCAGAAAACAAAGTGACTTCTGAGTCGATCCAAGAGGGCAGTGCCCTGTCAGTCACACATGTATCGTCATCAGCTTGCCTCTCCTTCCCACACTATGTGAGCCAGCGTGCCTCTTTCCCATGCTAAGTCAAATCTGCCTCTTTATTCTGCGCTATGCCAGTTTACCTTGCCCACGTTTCGTTGCTCTCTTCTTGTGTTTTGAGCTCTCCACTCAGCCACCCCACCTCCTCTTATCGCCCGTTATCCTCAACCCCTTTCCCCCACCGTTGCTTCCTCCCTCAGACGGCAGAGGCAGTGCGGGCAGAGGTGGACGTAACTCTAATCAGCCGTGGACTGGCGGGTGTTCCCTGCTACTCTCTCCCCATGGGTGCCCCTCCCTCACTTCCCGATTTCACCACTTCCAACCGCCTTGCACCTCCATTCTTCCCCACCGTCTCCCTCTCCCTCCCTCAGACGGCAGAGGCAGTGCGGGCAGAGGTGGACGTGAATCTCTCAGCCGTGGACTGGCGGGTGTTCCCCGCCACCTTCGCCCCATGAACGACTCATCCTTTCACCACTCTCAACCGCTCTACACCTTTCTTCTCCCCTCTTTCAGACGGCAGAGGCAGTGCGGGCAGAGGTGGACGTAACTCTATCATCTGTCGACTGGCGGGTGTTCCCTGCTACTCTCGCCCCGTGGGTGGCAGCAGCACTTGAGGAGATGCGGAGGAAGAAAGCAGCAGCACTCAGGCGCCAACACTTGCAACTGCAGCAGGAGCTGCTGGAACAGCAGCAACAGCAGCAGCAAGGGTATCTGGAAGGGATTCTGTCTCCACGTGCCAAGGCCAGAGGCGCTTCGCGAAAAGCTGATTCACCACCGCTAGGCAAGAGTGCAGCAGCAGCAGGAGAAGCAGGAGGCAGAGTAGGAGGAGGAGCAGGGGCACCAGGAGCAGCGACAGCAGAGGCAGCAGCAGTGGTGGAGGTTCCCAAGCCAAAGAAGCCAAAGCGGCCGTTCAGGCTTGAGGCAGTGGTGGGAGCAGTAGGAGCAAAGCTCACAGTACACGATTATGACGACACTCCTCTCTATAAGGCCTCTGCTGCCAAGTTCCACCTCTTCCTCTCCAAATCCACTGGCTCCCCCCCTGCTGCTGCTGCTGCTGCTGCGCCACACGCCTCTGCTTCGACCCCGCTGGGGCCTGATTCGCCTGGTTCTGCTGCCGGTGGTGGGAAGGCAGGGTGGGGCAGAAGCAAGGGTGGGCGGTACTCGTTTCTGAGCCGGTCTGGGAGTGTTCTGGGCGGGGGGGCGAGGGGAGGAGTGGGGGGGGCTGCAGGAGCGGGAGGAGGAGGAGGAGATGGAGCAGCCGCAGCAGCCAACAGTCCTGGGGTTTCCAGGACTAGCAGCAGGGCGGAAGCAGCAGCAACTAGGGCGGGTTTTAGCAGGTCTACGAGCTGCTTTGCTGCCAGTCCTTATGGTGCTGGTGGTGGTGGTGGTGGCTTTGGTAGGGGCTCTGCCTCCGCCTTCCCTTCCTCGTCCACCATCCCCGCTTCTCCTGCTGCTGCTGCCACCACCGCCGCTGCTGGGACTGGGACGGGGACTGCTGCGGCTGGTGGTGGTGGTGGTGGTGGTGAGAGTGTGATGGAGGTACAGGTAGAGTATTCAGGCGTGCAGGTGGCACGTCTGCCCAGAGAAGAGGATTTCGCCAGGCTTGCTGAGGCACACGGTGCTGCCAGTGCTGCAGGTGCTGCTGCTCCTGCTGCTGCTGCTGCTGCTGCGGCTGCGGTTGCTGTGCCTCGGGAGCAGGTGTTTATTCAGGTGTCGCGCCTGGGAGTAGAGTGGGGCCCTGGGATCCCCGACAACTGGGAAGAGCTTGGGGATTCATCCGGAGAGAAGAGAGGGGGGGAGTCATCAGGAGCAGTAGAAGCAGGAGCAGGAGGAGAATCAGGAAGGGGGTTAGGAGTAACAGGGAGTGCCAGTTCCCCCGGTAGTGGCTCCGGTGGGGGCGCGTACAGAGTGGTCAGTGGAGGGGGGAGTGGGGGGAGCGGGGGAGGGGGGATACTAGACAAAGTAATGATGGTGCAGGTGGGGGTGCGGGGACTCAGACTGCGCCCCTCCTTCCCCCTCCTGGGATCGATTGCAGAGGAAATCACCCGAGCAGAGCAGTTTGTCAAGAGGGAGAAGAAGAGAGGTGCGAGCACAGTAGGTGCTGCTGCGGGTGGGGCTGACGCGACTGCTGGTGGTAAAGAGTCAGGCAAAGGGAAGAGCAAGAGCAAGAGCAAGGGGAAGGGCAAGGGGAAGGGAGTGAAGGCGTTTCGGATAGTCCTAGACGATTCTCTCTTGGAGCTGGAATGCCCCTGCACAGTCGTTGAAGCAGATGTGCTGGATCCTAAGAAAGTTCACTTTGGGGATGAGCTGGGAGAGAGAATTTTCCACCTCACCCCTGAGGGAGACCTTCGGGTGGCGAAGGTTAGGAGGTTTGAGTGGGAGGGGGTTGAGCATGCTTCTGTGGTGTGTGCGTTGCGGGTGGAGCTGCCTTCGGTGTCGGTGGGGGGGAGAGTGGGGGGAAAGCAGGTGCAGGTTGGGGTGGAAGGGGCGAGAGTGGTGTATGTGGAGAAAGGCGAGGGTGGGGAGGTGGGGGGTGCGGTGCGGAGTGGTGGAGCTGGGTTTGGGAAGGGGGGTTTGGAAGGGAAGGGAGGGGAGGAGAAGAGGGTGGGGAGGGAGGGTGGGAGGAGGCAGGATGGGGTGATAGCAGAGGTGGTGATGTGCCGGTTACAAATGGCACACGTTTTGCTTCGGAAGGGGCTGCTAGGTCCGGACGGAGGTCTGGCGCCAGACCGGGTGGTGGTTACCGCAGCTGGGCTGGAGGCTCGGTGGGAGCCGGATGTACAGGTGCTGGTGGTAGAGGTAGGGGAGGAGATGAAGGAGGTGACTGGTCGGAGAAAGGCTGTTATAGAGCAATGGCGAAAGATGACAGAGAGAGAAGGGGAGACGGAGCAGGCGCGGGTGAATCAGCAGCAGGCGCAGGAGAAGGCAGAGCAGGAGACACAGCAGCGGGTGCAGGAGCAGAAGGGAGGGAAGGGAGAGGGAGGGGATGCAGGGAAGCTAGTCACGGCAGGTGGTAGTCTTGATGCGAGTCTGCTCGGGAGGGAAGGTGGTAACCAGCTAGGTGCATCAGCCGCAGCAGCAGCAGCAGCAGCAGCAGCAGCAGCAGCAGCCGGCACCAGCAGCAGCACTAGCAACACGCCCAGGGCCAGCAGTAACAGCATGGGAGCATCACTGCCGCCGATAGCACCCAGTGGTGGTGAGGGCAGCAGGCGCTCTGTGGGAGTTGCCAAGTCCGCTGCTGGGGTGCTGGAGGGCGGTGTGGCAGGGTTGGGAGTGGCTGGGAGCGGTGCCGGAGGTGGTACCGGGAGTGGTATCTGGCGCAGGAACAGTGACAGCGGCGTTGGTGCTGCCACGTCAGCAGCCGGCGGTGGCGGCGCCAGCTGGCAGCAGTGGAAGCCGGGAGGACACGTGGCAGGAGCACCATCATTTGCAGCATCAGATAATGCTTCTGCAGCAGCAGCAGCGGCTGTGGCAGCAGCTGCAGCTGGTGATTCCGCAGCCCCGGCAAACCCGAGCAAGCCCGTGAAGGCGAAGAAGCCAAAGCCAATAGTTGCGGTGGATGTGACGGGGGTGGTGGTGACGGTGGGGATAGGCGACGAGACAGAGATGCGTGTGGAGGCCAGGGGGCTCTTCTCTGAAGACGCGGCCATGGGGGCGCTGCTGGAGGGGCTGGCGTTGCGCATCAATGGAGCTGCCATGCTCTTCAGCGAGTCGTTCCAGGTGAGACATTCATGTGAGGTGGCCCAAAGGTGGTATTGATTGATGATTGAGACAGAGATGTGCATGGAGGCCAGGGGGCTGTTCTCTGAGGACATGATATGATATGCATCAATCCATCTGTTACCCGCCCCTCCTTTCCCACTCCCGACTCCCCTCCCTCAACCTACCTCCCGCCAGGTTTCTCGTGTGCCGAGTGCAACCCCAGTGGTGGTCGCACCTCCCTCCGCCCCTCCACCCCAGCCAGGAGAGAGCACACCCACAGTGTGGGACTATGTGATCCAGGCGAGCTCATCGCGCTTCATCCTGCCGTTCCAGTTTGAGGTGCGGGCAGTGGAGGACAGTGCAGAGGACATGATGCGCGTGCTCAAGGCTGTCACTGCTGCTCAGAAGATGGCCCGCCGCTTGCGCCAGGGGAGAGCCGCTGCTGCTGCTGGTTCAGGCCTGGCAGCAGCAGTAGCCGATTCAGCATCCCTGGCTGCTGCAACAGCTGCAGCTGCCGCCGCCACTGCTGCTGCTGCTGCTGCTGGGTCAGGCCCGGCAGCAGCAGTGGGCGATCCAGCAGCACTGGCCGCAGCAACAGCTGCAGCCGCTGCAGAAGCAGAAGCAGCAGGCGTGATCCCCCCCACCGTGCCCTCCTCCTCCTCTGCCCCAAAACCCAAGAAGCCCCCTGCGCGTCAGAAAGGCCTCATACGCCTTATAGTGAAGGAGCTGCTTTTAGAGGTGGAGGAGGAGCCGATTCAAGGGTGGCTAGATGAGAGGAGACAGCTTATGAGACCACTGGTGGAAGATAAGCTGGTGAGGGAGAGGTTGTTAGAGGAAGAGGAGGAGAATCTGATGGGCGGGGATATTTTTCCCGCTGGTTTGGAGGGGCTTGTTGGGGAGGTAGCAGGGGGGGGGGATGGTGAGAAGTCACCTCAGGATGGGAGAGGAGGGGGAGGAGGAGGGGGGTTAGGAGGGGGAGGTGGGGGGAAAGGGGTGAGTCTGCAAGTGTTGGCTGCAGCAGCGGCTGCTGCAGAGGCTGTTGGGCCTACAGGTGAAGCCAAGGGTACTGCGGTCAGGCTGAAACTTTTCCGAGAACGTTTCCAGGCTGCCCGGGAGGATCTGCATCGTCGGGCAAGCCTGGCGTACAAAGCAGCGTGCGAAATCCTTGTGAAGGATCCGGGCACGGGCTGGGCGTATAAAATCGGGCTGAATGAAAAGTTTCCGATGACCACCACACGAAGAAGCGCTGCTAGCTTGTGGTTTGCGTTTGCGGAGCTGGCTCTGATACCAATAGAGCATGGGCGGCAGGGCATGGTGGCTAAAATCCGTGAGCTAGACACGGTTCCTGCTTCGGATAAGGTACCTATTGCTAGGATGTATGGGCGGGCAGTGGAGCTTTCGTGCGTAGGGCTGAAATTCTCCCTGAGGGATTTCCCGCTGCCGCTGTTTGCGGCTGCTTCCGGGAAGCTTCGTGCGACGGCGATCATGGCTGCACAGGCCACGGTGCACCAGCCGCAGCAAAAATCCGACGTGTTTCTTGGAAGGTTCCGGCGGGTTACGGTGCTGCGAACGGCCAGCGGAGCCACCCCTCCGTTGAAATTCTACTATGAGGCCGAGGCGGAGTTTGAATCGGCGGATTTGTCGTATGGGGTGGGGTACGAGCCGATGCTGTTCGCCGATGTGAGTTACGCGGTAACGTGTGCAGTGCGGAAGGGCCAGCCGACGACGAGGCAGGCGAAGGTGATTGCGGCGGCAGCGGCGGCGGCAGCAGCAGCTGGGATACCCTACCCTCCGGTGCAAAACACCCTCTCTGTGCCTGCTCTTGCAGCTGCAGCTGATCCTGCTGCGGCTCCTCCTGTGTGGCCGCCTGTGGAGAGAAGCCTGCCGTGGTGGGATATTATGAGGTATTACATGCACGGGCATGCGCAGATTGTAGCTCTGGACTATCAGGTGTTTCTTCAGGCTACTGTGGATCCATACGAGCAGAACGACATGCTCACGCTGGTCGGGTCCCGGCTTGTTTTCTCCCAGAAGAAAGGGCAGATGTTTGTGCGAGGGGAGGATCTAGAAGCGCACATGTCGAGCGTTCCGGAGGATCCGTTACGGAAGGCTGACGCGTGGGTGAGAGAAGGAGGGTTGGGCGGAATTGGGAGGGGGACAGGCGGGGGAGGCGAGGGCGGGCGGTGGGAGGGAGACGAGTTTCTCCGTGCACCTGCGATCGAGACGCCGGTTCTGGAGCTGGATATTCGGATAGACTGGGAGGTGGAGGAGAATGGGGACGCGTGTGCACATTATTTGCACGCGCTGCCGACGGAACCAGGCATGCGGAAGGTTTTGTATGATCCGTTTAGGTCTGTGGGGATGAACTTCCGGTGGGACTGGCGGTTTTTGTCCAAGGAGCAGGCGAGGGTGATTCACAGCAAAGGGGAGAAGAGAGGGAAGAGCAGCGTAGGTGGTGGTGGGGTGAGGGTGGGTCGGAGCAGCAGTGCCGTTGATATCCGGCCTGGTGGCCCCACTGCTGCTGCTGCTGGCGCTGCTAGTGCTGGCAGCGATGCTGCTGCGGGTGCATCTGGTGTTTTAGGCAGGCATGCACATGGATCACCGGCAGGACCAGCCATACCGCGCTCCACCTCTCTGTCTTCTGCTTCGTTCTCCCGGGCCTCCTCCTCCTCCCACCGCTTCCCCGACGACGAAGATTTCTTCTCGGGCAGCTCAACTGCCCACCGATCGGCGTCCAGCACCAGCGGCGGGTCGTTCTCGTCCGTTGGATTCGAACCGGGGGCTGAGTCAGCCTCAGGAGCGGGTTTGAGTGCAAGTGGGCGTTTGCAATCTCAGAGACACAGGAGAACGTCGTCAGGCAGTATGCCTTGGCATGTGGGAGCGGGGAATTGGGAAGGCGGAGGAGAAGGAGGGGGAGGAGGAGGTGGGGGTGCAGGTGCTGCCGTGGCTGGTGGTTTTGATAGCCCACGCATCGAAGGAATCGGAGGAAGCGGAGGAATCGGAGGAAGCGGAGGGTTCGGAGGAAGTGGAGGGATCAGAGGAGGGTTTGAGGTTGCTGGTGGGGGCGTGCGCCAGCCGACGTTCAACCTAGCAAGCCACGACATCAAGTGGCTGTTCAAGTTCTACAACCTCATGTACCTCTCCTCCCACAAGCTCCGGAACTTCGGCCGCCGCCGCTACGGCATTGCAAGGAAGCCCAAGTCCGGCAACCTGAACCTCAGCCAGGTCATGTCTGAGATGCTGATCCGCCTGCATATCGCCCCGGGCGCGTGGCGGCATTATTCGTTTCGGAACCCGGACCCGGCGGAAGGGCTGGTGTTGCTGGTAGATGAGTTGGTGTATGAGTTGTGCTATAGTAGGAATTTGAAGGCTTGGGATGGGAAGACGAGAAGGCCGAGTTTTAAGACGGCGCATACGGGGCTTGATGTTGTGCGCATGAGGATTGTTGTGGAGGAGCCTGGGAGTGGGGAGGGGGAAGGGGATGGGCAGGAGGGGGGTGGAGGGATGGAGGGTGGAGGTGGGGGAGGGGGAGTGGGGAGAGGGGGTGTTGGTGGGACGAGTGGGCGGGTTTTGGAAGGGGATGAAGCTTCTGAGAAGATTCTGGAGTTGTTGATGGGGGAGGATGAGGTGGGGGGAGGGGGAAGGGAGGGGGTGGTGGGAGGGGTGGCGGGGAGGGGCGTATCAGGGAAAGGTCTGGTTACCAGACGAAGCACTGGAGGCAGCAGCTTCAGATGGGGGGGAGGAGAGGGATTGGGAGGGGGAGGAGGGGGAGGGGGACTGGGAGAGGAAGCAGGAGGTGGGGGGAGGGGCACGGGGGCAGCGGGATTCAGGAGCAGCAGCAGCGCAAGGGGAGGGATTGTGGGGGAAGGATGGACAAAGGCCGATCAGAGTTTCCTAATGTCATGTGACGGGGTGATGATTCGCAAGCAGGCGCCTGACGGGAACGCGGAGCAGATTCAGAAATGGCGCGTGGGGGAGGGATGGAAGGGATGGCTCATGGGGGCAGCAGGTGGTGGTGGGGAGGCGGGGGGAAGGGGAGCAGGAGGAGACGGCGAGGGGAGTAAGAAAGGCAGCAGCAGCCGGATTAGCGATTTTGAAGCGGAGGGGGAGGGCTCGGAGAGTGACGGGGACGAGGGCGAGGAGGAGGATGAGGAGGAGGAGGGTGGGGAGGGGGAGGACGAGGGGGAGGCGGAGCAAGATCTAGCTGACATTCTTGCTCTACTAGTAGCAGACGACTGCTGGAGGATCCTGGTTCCAGGGCTAAGACTCCTCCTCACCATCCGCAACAGAGATGCTCTGTGGGCCTGGATGGCGGAATTCCAGCGCGGATTCGCGTCAGACAAGCCGTCCCCGTCGCGCCAGCTGGCGCAACGCAAGAGGCTGGAGGCGGCGGGGGGGGTGCCGCCACCGGTGGTGGGGGCGGCGCTGGTGGCGGCTCAAGTGGCGGCTCAGATCGCAGCAGAGAAGGCGGAGAAAGAGGCAGCAAAGGCTGCTTCTGCCGCTGAGGCTGCTGCGGCAGCGGCAGAAGCACAAGCAAAAGCGGGGGGAGGGGATGCGGCGGGAGTGGTGGAGGGTGGACAGGCGGGAGGGGGAGGTGGTGTGGTTGGTGCTGCTGCTGCTGGGGGTGCTGCTGACGGTGGTGGTGGGGGAGGGGGAGGGATGGGGGCTGGGGCGGCAGGTATGGGGATGGGGGGAGAGGAGGATAACTGCACGTTGAACTACATGATCAACATCATTCGGCCTCAGTTCAACTTCCACTCTGAAGATGCGCACGTGAGTTGTGAAACGCGAGTGTGCGTTGTGGAGTGCGCTCGTGCGTTGTGGATTGCCTTTAGTAGTACCCCTCATCTTTCCCCTCACTTCAACATCATTCGGCCGCAGTTCAACTTCCACTCTGAAGATGCGCATGTGAGTATGATCTTCTGAAATTCGCGTGTATTGAGTTGAGTTAAAAGGTGTATTTGGAGGCGACTTGGTCAGGATACAGGACGATAATCGCACGTTGAACTACATGATCAGCATCATTCGGCCTCAGTTCAACTTCCACTCTGAAGATGCACATGTGAGTGTGATATTGTGAAATAATGGTGAGTGAGCTGAGCCGTGTATTGAGTCGAGTGAAAGGGTGTATTTTGGATCGACTCAGTCAGGGTACACAAGGAGAATTGCACGTTGAACAAGATTATCAGAATTATTCATTACCCGCAGTTCAACTTCCACTCTCAAGACGTGCACGAGAGTTATAGTCAGGAAAATGGTCATTGCAGTATGCATATATGAGTTATAGATTGAAAAATGGTCATGGAGTATGCATATATGAGTTATAGATTGAAAAATGGTCATGCAGTATGCATATATGAGTTATAGATTGAAAAATGGTCATACAGTATGCATATATGAGTTATAGATTGAAAAATGGTCATGCAGTATGCATATATGAGTTATAGATTGAAAAATGGTCATGCAGTATGCATATATGAGTTATAGATTGAAAAATGGTCATGCAGTATGCATATATGAGTTATAGATTGAAAAATGGTCATTGCAGTATGCATATATGAGTTATAGATTGAAAAATGGTCATCGCAGTATGCATATATGAGTTATTGATTGAAAAATGGTCATTGCAGTATCCCAATAAGGCTGGCCCCGTACTCGATTGCACCTCCCACCTTCCCACAAGACTTACACCACTTCATTTTTTTCCCCTCTTTCTCTTCTCATCTCCTCCCTCCAGGGTTGCTTCCTCCTCACTGCCAAGAGTGGTCGCATGTTTGCGTGCACCTTCCACTCAGTCTTCACAGACTCATTTCCCTTCACCTCCCCCCCGCTCCTCTCCCAATCCACTTGCTTCCTCCTCACTGCCAAGAGCAGCCGTGTGCTCGCGTGCACCTCCCACTCACTCTTCACAGACTCATACCCGCTGGCTTTCCTCCCTTTTCTATCTCCCCTCATCTTCCCCCCACCTCTACACCCACATCCCAGGGTCGTTTCCTCCTTGCTGCCAAGAGCGGGTGTGTGCTCGCTCGCACCTTCCACTCAGTCTTCACGGACTCATACCCGCTGATTTTCCTCCCTTTCTATCTTTCTTCATCTTTCCCTCCTTCTCCCTGCACCCCGCCAATAGGGTCGCTTCCTCCTGGCTGCCAAGAGCGGCCGTGTGCTCGCCCGCACCTTCCACTCAGTCTTTGCCGGGGCCATCGAGGCCCTTGCTGCCATCACTCCCCCTCCCCCTCCTCCTCCTCCTCCCTCCTCCTCCATCTCCTCCGCTCCTCCTACTCTTTCCAGCACCGGCACCCCTCCCTCCACCGTCCCTCCTTCCCCCTCCTCCGCCTCCCATGCTTCTACCTCGTCCTCCTCCGCCCCTCCTCTCTCCGCCCTTAGCATTTCAGACTCCACTCCTCTTGCACCTGGCTCAGTGGCAGCAGGAACAGCAGGAGCAGCAGGAGTGCCAGTGACAGCACCAGCAGGAGGAGCAGGGGACGGCACAGGGGCAGGGGTAGCGGCAGGGATAGGAGCAGGAGGAGCAGGAGAAGGAGTGGTATTGGCAGGAGGAGCTTCAGCAGTAGCAGGAGCAGCAGCAGCAACGCCAGCAGCAGCAGCAGCAGCAGCAGCAGCAGCAGCATCCCTAGCCCCTCCTCCACCCCACACATCTGATATCATGCCAGGGTTCGGTGATGACCTGGACACGATTCAGTGGAACCGGCACGAGCTGGCAGTCATGCTGGAGAACGTGCAGGCCTACGTGGCACCCACTGACGTGGACCTGACAGCTGGCGTGCAGTGGTTGGCTCATGTGCCCATGGGGGCGGGGAGGAGGGGGGGAGGGAGGGGTGGGAAGGGGAGGAGGCGGGGTGGGGGGATGGTTGGGAGGGGATCGGAAGGAAATCTTGCTATTGGGAGTGCTGCTGGTGGTGACAGTGGTGGGAATGGGGATGGTGATGATGCTGGTGCTGGGCCGAGCGGAGTGCTGATGCTGGGAAGAGGGGCTGCTAGTAATGGGGATATGGAGGGAAGTCACCTACTGAAGCAGGTGTTTCAACCTTGCACTATGTACCTGGAGTATACGCGATACAAGAGCGGGTCTCAGGGTGCCCAGGTGAGGAACACGCAGTGATGAGCACAACAAACCCCCTTGCACTTGCACCCCCATGCACCATGTACCTGGAGTATACACGATACAAGAGCGGGTCACAGGGTGCCCAGGTGAGGAACCGGATGGCACGGAGGTGGGGGGGAAGGGATGTAGGTGGTATGTATGTATTCATGCACCACACCATGTACTGCCGTGCACCATGTACCTGGAGTATACACGATACAAGAGTGGGTCTCAGGGTGCCCAGGTGAGGAACACATGATGATCACAGAACACCATGCACCATGCACCATGCACCTGCAATATATCCACTTTCCCTCTGAATCCTTTCGTTAGCCCTGAAGGACGTGACTATCAGCTACACGGCCATCGTGACCCTCTCTTCCCGTTTTACCCTTTCACCCATTGCAGAAGAAGCCGCTAAAGGAAGTGAGTTTCAGTGTGCCCAACATCACAGCCACCATGACCTCCCAGCAGTTCCAAACGCTCACGGATATCATCATGAACCTCGCCCTCGCGCCCACGCCCAAGTGAGTTGTATCACTTACATATGCGCTTTATACGCAAGCAGCAAAAACGTGGCATGCCATCACTGCTTTCACTTCCACACCCTCACCAACCTCATCATACACCTCGCTCTTGCGCCCACGCCCAAGTGAGTTGCTTGCACCACTCACGTGATGCGCCGTATAAGCAAGCAACAGCTCAGGACGTGTTCACTCCTCTCACTTCCAGATACTCACCAACATCATCGTCATACACCTCCCCCTCACTCCCACGCCCAAGTGAGTTCCAAGCTCTCAACCTCTCTTAACTCCCTTTTCAAGCAACACTTCAGCAGTCTATCACTCCTCTCACTTCCAGACCCTCACCGACCTCATCCTCATGCATCTCGCCCTCACTCACTCCCACGCGCAAGAGATCCCCATCACTGTATAAATGCGAGCAACAGGAGGCCTGAAGTCACTTTTATTGTGCATTTCCCAATCTAACTTCAAGTAAGTAACAGTGCTCGGAGTTCCCGGGGTGAGAGCGGAGGTGGCTCAGCGGGCAGGCAGTCAACGCCCTCATCCAGGACCTCTGGGGGAGGAGAGGAGTGCGAGTCTTGACCCTCGTGCGCCCTCTATTCACATGCACACACTCACTTCTCCTCTCCTCCCGAAACCCCGTCACTCCCCCCTCTTCCCCTTCCTACATCCTGGTTGAAGAAGCCAAAAGTGCGTCCTGATGCAGACAAGGATGAAGAAGAGGAGGAGGAGTACGGATCCCGGGCCGATGGAGTTCCCGAGGTGGAGGTGGCAGAGGTGGAAGCAGAGGTGGCACAGCGGGCAGTCAACGCCCTCATCCAGGACCTCTGGAGGAGAGGAGTGCAGGTCTTGACTCTCCTGTTCCCTCCCTTCACATGCACGCACCCACTCACCTCTCCGTCCCCTTTTCTTTCCCCCCTCCCCTTCCCCCCTCCCCCTCCCTGCCATCCAGGTTGAAGAAGCCAAAGGTACGACCTGATGCAGACGAAGAGGAGGAGGAGGAGGAAGAATACGGATCCCGCCCTGACGGAGTTCCCGAGGTGGAGGCGGCGGAGGTGAAAGCGGAGGTGGCGCAGCGGGCAGTGAACGCTCTCATCCAGGACCTCTGGAGCACTGCCGCTCTCACCGCCTCGAGAGCTCACGGGCCTGAGCTGGCGTTTGCTGGCAGCTGGGACGGAGGGGGAGGAGGAGGGGGGAATGCGGGTGTGTTTGGGTCGGGGCGGCTGGTTCTGGAAGAGGAGGATCCGAATCACAAGAGTCTTGTGCTTGCGCCGCCCATGGTGCTGGTGAGTGAGTGGTTGCTTGGTGATTGATTTGCTGTTCATGCTCCAGCCAGCAGGAGGCCACTTCTTCTGAGTTAAGTTGACTCAGGTGGCATGTGGCTGGTTCTGGAAGAGGAGGATCCGAATCACAAGAGTCTTGTGCTTGCGCCGCCCATGGTGCTGGTGAGTGTGTTGTTCCCCTGGTGAGGTGAGTGGGTCGTTGGTTTTTTCATGCTTAACCAAGCATGCCTGTTGTGCCTGTTGTGATAAAAGAGGTGTTTTGAGACGTCTCAAATCACTTCTTTTATCACGTAGCATGCCTGTTGTGCCTTGCATGCCTGTTGTGCCTTGCATGCCTGTTGTGCCTTGCATGCCTGTTGTGCCTTGCATGCCTGTTGTGCCTGTTGTGCCTGTTGTGCCTTGCATGCCTGTTGTGCCTTGCATGCCTGTTGTGCCTGTTGTGCCTTGCAAACTGCTGCCCTTTCTCCGACTCGGCCCTCCCGATCTTCGCAACCTCCCTTTCTCTCCCTCCCCCCCCCTGGGCTGGTTGGCGCCTGCAAGTCAGCTGTGCGCACGAGATGCTCCCTTTCTCTCCCTCCCCCCCCCTGGGCTGGTTGGCGCCTGCAAGTCAGCTGTGCGCACGAGATGCTCCCTTTCTCTCCCTCCCCCCCCCCTGGGCTGGTTGCCGCCAGCAAGTCAGCTGTGCGCACGAGATGCTCCCTTTCTCTCCCTCCCCCCCCCTGGGCTGGTTGCTGCACTGACGGAAAGAGCATCTCGTGCGCACAGCTGACTTGCTGGCGCCTTCTGAAACGTCTAGATACTGATTTTCCCTCTATCCTCTGTCCGTCTGTTGAGTCGACTCAGAGGGCACGCAATCACTGTTCATGTTCTCATCCTCTCATCCCTGTGTCCCGTACGCAGAGCTGACTGACTGGCTCGCGACTTCGGGAACATTTAGTTTCTGAAACGTCTACTAACTAATTTTCACTTTATCATCCTCTCAGGTCGCTTCTCTCAAAGGAGAGTGCCTCGTGTGCAGAGCTTACCTGCAGGCGACCTTTTTGAGACCGCTAATTATTGTTGTTTTCCCCTTGTCATCCTCTCACCCACTCACCCCAGGTCGCTGCTCTCAAAGGAGAGTACCTCGTGCGCAGAACTCATTCTCGTTTCTCCCTTTCTCCCCATGCTCTCATGCTCTCTTCCCCTCACTCACTCACCCCAGGTCGCTGCTCTCAAAGGAGAGTACCTCGTGCGCAGAGCTCATTCTCGTTTCACCCTTTCTCCCCATGCTCTCATGCTCTCATCCCCTCACCCACTCACCCCAGGTCGCTGCTCTCAAAGGAGAGTACCTCGTGCGCAGAGCTTACTTGCGGGCGGCGAGGCAGGAGTGCCGGGCGGCGGTGGGGCGGGCGGCACGGCAGCAGCGGGAGAAGCAGAAGCAGCCGTCGTCGGCAGTGGCTGTGATCTGGACCATCGACCGCGCGGCATGGTCGCTGCTGAGTGACGGCCATGTGTTTGCAGAGGCTGAGATTCAACACATGGTGAGTGGGTGAGGCAAATGGTGGTGAGTGGTTGAGATGCAATGCATGTTTAGGGGCTGGTTGAGGGGCAGTAGAGGTAAGGAGCGACCAGTGGGGGGTAAGCAAAGGCAGCGGCGGTGATCTGGACCATCAACCGCGCGGCATGGTCGCTGCTGAGTGATGGGCACGTGTTTGCCGAGGCAGAGATCCAACACATGGTGAGTGGCTGGCTGGGGCAGTTTTTTTTTTTTTTTTTTTTTTTTTTTTTTCCTTTCTCTTGTTATTTTTGTAAGAGTCTTCAGCAACTCCTTTGTGTCTCTCACCTCTCTTTTCCTCCTTCCTTCCCCTTATGCGCCACCTCAGCTCCTGAACGTGGACAGGGATTTCAACGACATAGGCATGGCGTGCTTTGTCATCAAGTCGATTGCTGTGCGCAACTGCCTGCCTCAAGCCAAGTCACGCCTCGTGCTCTCTGCCTGGAACCCTCCTCCCGACTGGTCTCGGTCAGTGCTTGCCCCTCAATCTCGCCGTTTCCCCCCAACCCCATATATCTCTAATGTCTGTTCTCAGAACCTCATTTTGAGATCTGGTTGTGATTTCTTTCTCGGTCAGTCCCCATTCCATCCTCCCTCTTGCTCCCCCGTCTCCCATTTCCACCCCCATGCCCTGCCTGCCTGTTGCAGCCATGCTAAGATTCGAGTAGTCTCCTCATTCCCCCTCTTCTTCCCCATCTTCCGACTTCCCCCTTCGTCTTTCTAACCGCCCCGTGCTCTCCATGTTGCAGACATGCCATGATCCGAGTGGTGGGCAAGATAGGCAAGCCTGTCGACGGTGTCTCCCCCATTGAGACATTTGAGGTAAGGTGAAACGCCCCAGGTGAGATGACACGCCCCAGGTGAGGTGACACGCCAACATTTCTGCATGGAATTTACTGCCTGTTGCTAATTCTCGGTGCCTCTGCTGACGAGGTCTCCTGCACCACTGTGCGTCTACCTCACTCACAGAGGAGATGCGGGCTGCTGGGAGGTATTGTAGTGAAGTGATTCGTTACACGCTGTTTGAGCATATGAAGTGATTCGTTACACGCTGTTTGAGCATATGAAGTGATTCGTTACACGCTGTTTGAGCATGTGCGTGCATATGTGCGCGTCCATGAGCACGTGGAGATCTACCCGCTGTTTTTGAGGCGCCTCAAAAGTCCTCAAAAATTTTGAGGCGCCTCAAAAGGGAGGTATTGTAGTGAAGTGATTCGTTACACACTGTTTGAGCATGTGCGTGCATATGTGCGCGTCCATGAGCACGTGGAGATCTACCCGCTGCGAATCTACCTGACAGAGCAGATGTACCAACTGAGTGGTGTGGGATATGCAACTCATTCCTCGACTCACTATTTGCGCGTGTGTGCATCTGTGTGCATGCAAGTGGAGATACACCCGTTGCGAATCTACCTGACAGAGCAGATGTACCGAGTGGTGTGGGACATGTTAACTCAATCCTTGACTAACTATGTGTGCGTGTGCATGAGCAGGTGGAGATCTACCCTCTCCGCATCTACCTCACAGAGCAGATGTACCGAGTGGTGTGGGACTATCTCTTTGCCAAGGAGCCAGACGAGCAGCTCCGGAAGCAGGTCAGCTCCTTATGTTTCTTGGCACCTCGTGAGACCTCCTGCTAGCTATCATAAATCTTTTGAGTCGACTCAAAAAAAGAGACCTCCTGCTAGCTATCATAAATCTTTTGCGCAACATCAGAAGCAATCTCATCGGAGCAGATGTACCGAGTGGTGTGGGGCTATCCCTTTGCCAAGGGGCTTCTATTCCACTGCTCCTGACACCCTCTCCTCCTCCGCTGCTGCCTGCAGTGCTACTGGTGGGGGGACTTGATTTTTCAATCGACTCAAACACCCACCACCCTTACCCCTGTTCCCACTCTCACCCACTCTGTCAACCCCAGGAGATGTGGGGTCCGGTGGCTCTCCCTGTGAAGCAGAAGGACAAGCGCCGCTCCACTGCTCCCGATACCCTCTCCTCCTCTGCCGCTGCCGGCAGTGTTGCTGGTGGGGCCTTCCCAATGTCAGCGACTGTTGCGGGTGCGGGAGGCGGAGGCGGAGGGAGGAAGGGCGCAGAGGAGCCTCGCTTGAAGCACCAGTCATCTGCCCCGCCCTCGGCTCTGGTCGTTGAGGAGATTGTAAGTCCTCCAAGGGGATTCCATCTCTCCTCCCCCACCTTCACCTCCCGCTTTTCCGCCTCCGCCTCCCCTCTGCCCTCCTACACGGTCATTCCCTCTCAGAGCAGCCCCACGTTCCGCGCCCATGCAAGTGCCTTCTCAGCAGACCGATACCCCCTCTTTCCCTTCTTCCCCCACTTCCATCCTCCCACCAGCGCCGGTCCACCACAGACAGCTTCACCTCCACCGGCTCTGCTCTAGGCTCGCTCCCCTCCGCCTCCACCTCCCCTTTCCCATGCAAGTGCTTTTCTTCCCCCTCTCCCCCCTCTTTCCCCCGTCCCCTCTTCCCCCTCTTCCCCCCCACCAGCGTCGGTCTACTACAGACAGCTTCACCTCCACTCTGCACCCTTCAAACCCCTCACTCTCCTCCTTCCTCCCTCCCCCCCGCCTCTACCTCCCCTTTCCCCTCCTCCGCCTCGCCATTCCACCCGTCCGTCCCCCCGCCGCGCTCTTCTCTGCCCTCCTACTCGGTTATCCGTTCTCAGAGCAGCCCTACATTCCGTGCCCACGCAAGTGCCTTCTCAGCTGACCAATATTCCTTCTCCCCTCTTCCCCCTCTCCCCGCTTCTTCCTCTTTCCCCTCTTCCCCCTCTCCCCGCTTCTTCCTCTTTCCCCTCTTCCCCCTCTCCCCCATTCTTCCTCTTTCCCCTCTGCCCCCTCTCCCCTCTTTTTCCTCTTTCCCCTCTTCCCCCTCTCCCCTCTTTTTCCTCTTTCCCCTCTTCCCCCTCTCCCCTCTTTTTCCTCTTTCCCCTCTTCCCCCTCTCCCCTCTTTTTCCTCTTTCCCCTCTTCCCCCTCTCCCCTCTTTTTCCTCTTTCCCCTCTTCCCCCTCTCCCCTCTTTTTCCTCTTTCCCCTCTTCCTCCTCTCCCCTCTTTTTCCTCTTTCCCCTCTTCCCCCTCTCCCCTCTTTTTCCTCTTTCCCCTCTTCCCCCTCTCCCCTCTTTTTCCTCTTTCCCCTCTTCCCCCCACCAGCGTCGGTCCACCATGGACAGCTTCACCTCCACCGGCTCTACTCTCAGCCACCTCTACCTCCTCCCTGTTTTGCCTCCTTTGCCCCTTCCCCCGCCAGCGCCGGTCCACCACTGACAGTTTCACCTCCACCGGCTCTGCCCCTCTTTCCCTTCCCTCGATCCCCAATCTCTCAATCACATATATTCTCTCCCCTTTTTCCCCTTCCCCCTCTTCCCCCCCACCAGCGTCGCTCCACCACGGACAGCTTCACCTCCACCGGCTCTGCCCCCGGCTCCTTCTCCTCCTTGATCCCCAATATCCCAACCACCTCTCTCCCGTTTCGACCCGTTCCCCCCTTCCCCTCGTCCCCCTCTTCCCCCCTATCAGCGCCGGTCCACCACGGACAGCTTCACCTCCACCGGCTCTGCCCCCGGCTCGTTCCCTTCGAACCCCTCTCTCTCCTCCTTCCTCCCTTCCTCGCTCCCCTCCGCCTCCACCTCCCCCTTCCCCGCCTCCGCCTCGCCGTTCCACCCGTCCCTCCCCCCGCCGCGCTCCCCTCTGCCCTCCTACTCAGTCATTCGCTCTCAGAGCAGCCCCACGTTCCGAGCCCACGCAAGTGCCTTCTCAGCAGACCGATACCCCTCTGCTGTTTCCGCTGCTGGTGCTTCTGGTGCTGCGATTTCCGGTGCTCCTGCTGACAGTGATGCTGCTGCGAGTGGATACCCTGGTGCTGCTGGTGGGGATGCTTTCTCTTCAGGTCCTTCCACTGGCCTGCTTCATGCCCCTCCAATCACTCACTCCTCATCGGCCCCTCTCCCCTTGGCGAACCCCTATGGTAGAGCTGCTAGTAGTGCTGGGCTAGGGTACAGGGGAGGAGGCAGGGGCGGGGGAATGGGCGGGTCTGCGGCAGGGAAAGGTTTAAGTTTGGAGGGGATTCGAGAGGGGGGGGAGAAGGATGTGGGGGGAGCGAGTGAGAAGAAGAAGGGGCGGGATAAGAAGGAGCAGGAGGAGAGGAGGAAGTTGAAGGCGGAGGAGAGGGTAGCGATGAGGGAGAGGGAGAAGAGGGAGCTGCTGGAGAAGAGGAGGATGAGGATGGAGCAGAAGGAGGAGGAGAGGAGGAAGAAGTTAGCACTGGAGGAGCAAAGGCGGACGAGGAGACAAGCGGTTTATATTCAGAACCTCAAGTTCAGCCAGGTATGGGTTGGGCGCTACTACTCCCATGAAGGTGTCTCGTCTCTTTCTTCAGCCAGATGGGTGGCCGGCTTGCGCCTGCTCAAGCAGATTCATTCATGCTCACGTTCGCCCGTTCATGCTCGGACTGAGTGATTCGATTCTCAGTCCTGTCTCTCCTCTCTCCTCCTCTCTCTTCTCCCTTCCCTCCTTCCTTCCCCCTCTCAGGTGGAGCTCTTGATCACATATGAAGGCTACCCTGTCTCTGTCACCGACCTGCGGCTCCTCATGGACACGTTTGCCCGCACCGAGTACACGGGGCCGTGGCGCCCTAAGTCCAGGCTAACAACACCACCCCCTCCCCCTCCTGCTCCCTGTCAGGTGGAGCTCTTGATCACATACGAGGGCTACCCTGTCTCTGTCACCGACCTGCGTCTGCTCATGGACACGTTCGCCCGCACCGAGTACACGGGGCCGTGGCGCCCTAAGTCCAGGCTAACAACACCACCCCCTCCCCCTCCTGCTCCCTGTCAGGTGGAGCTCTTGATCACATACGAGGGCTACCCTGTCTCTGTCACCGACCTGCGTCTGCTCATGGACACGTTTGCCCGCACCGAGTACACGGGGCCGTGGCGCCCTAAGTCCAGGCTAACAACACCACCCCCTCCCCCTCCTGCTCCCTGTCAGGTGGAGCTCTTGATCACATACGAGGGCTACCCTGTCTCTGTCACCGACCTGCGTCTGCTCATGGACACGTTTGCCCGCACCAAGTACACGGGGCCGTGGCGCCCTAAGTCCAGGCTAACAACACCACCCCCTCCCCCTCCTGCTCCCTGTCAGGTGGAGCTCTTGATCACATACGAGGGCTACCCTGTCTCTGTCACCGACCTGCGTCTGCTCATGGACACGTTCGCCCGCACCGAGTACACGGGGCCGTGGCGCCCTAAGTCCAGGCTAACAACACCACCCCCTCCCCCTCCTGCTCCCTGTCAGGTGGAGCTCTTGATCACATACGAGGGCTACCCTGTCTCTGTCACCGACCTGCGTCTGCTCATGGACACGTTTGCCCGCACCGAGTACACGGGGCCGTGGCGCCCTAAGTCCAGGCTAACAACACCACCCCCTCCCCCTCCTGCTCCCTGTCAGGTGGAGCTCTTGATCACATACGAGGGCTACCCTGTCTCTGTCACCGACCTGCGTCTGCTCATGGACACGTTTGCCCGCACCAAGTACACGGGGCCGTGGCGCCCTAAGTCCAGGCTAACAACACCACCCCCTCCCCCTCCTGCTCCCTGTCAGGTGGAGCTCTTGATCACATACGAGGGCTACCCTGTCTCTGTCACCGACCTGCGTCTGCTCATGGACACGTTCGCCCGCACCGAGTACACGGGGCCGTGGCGCCCTAAGTCCAGGCTAACAACACCACCCCCTCCCCCTCCTGCTCCCTGTCAGGTGGAGCTCTTGATCACATACGAGGGCTACCCTGTCTCTGTCACCGACCTGCGTCTGCTCATGGACACGTTTGCCCGCACCGAGTACACGGGGCCGTGGCGCCCTAAGTCCAGGCTAACAACACCACCCCCTCCCCCTCCTGCTCCCTGTCAGGTGGAGCTCTTGATCACATACGAGGGCTACCCTGTCTCTGTCACCGACCTGCGTCTGCTCATGGACACGTTTGCCCGCACCAAGTACACGGGGCCGTGGCGCCCTAAGTCCAGGCTAACAACACCACCCCCTCCCCCTCCTGCTCCCTGTCAGGTGGAGCTCTTGATCACATACGAGGGCTACCCTGTCTCTGTCACCGACCTGCGTCTGCTCATGGACACGTTCGCCCGCACCGAGTACACGGGGCCGTGGCGCCCTAAGTCCAGGCTAACAACACCACCCCCTCCCCCTCCTGCTCCCTGTCAGGTGGAGCTCTTGATCACATACGAGGGCTACCCTGTCTCTGTCACCGACCTGCGTCTGCTCATGGACACGTTTGCCCGCACCGAGTACACGGGGCCGTGGCGCCCTAAGTCCAGGCTAACAACACCACCCCCTCCCCCTCCTGCTCCCTGTCAGGTGGAGCTCTTGATCACATACGAGGGCTACCCTGTCTCTGTCACCGACCTGCGTCTGCTCATGGACACGTTTGCCCGCACCAAGTACACGGGGCCGTGGCGCCCTAAGTCCAGGCTAACAACACCACCCCCTCCCCCTCCTGCTCCCTGTCAGGTGGAGCTCTTGATCACATACGAGGGCTACCCTGTCTCTGTCACCGACCTGCGTCTGCTCATGGACACGTTCGCCCGCACCGAGTACACGGGGCCGTGGCGCCGGCTCTTCTCGCGGCTAAGGAAGCATGTCATCTGGGGCGTGCTCAAGTCGGTCACAGGCATGCAGGTAACTCCATTAGTTAACAGTAGAATCTCATTGCCGCAATGCACCACACTGCGCCGCATTGTATCTCACCGAGTACACAGGGCCGTGGCGCCGCCGCCGTCTCTTCTCCCACCTGCGCATGCATGGCATGGATGGCTGTGCTGTAAGGCCTTTCTGCTAACGCTTTATGAAAGTGACACCCTCCCATTCCCCTTCCTCTCCCTCTTCCCCGACCTCCAACCCTGATATATAACCCCAGGGCCGCAAGTTCAAGGATGCACATCTGCAAGCAGGCAGCAGCAGCGGCGGCAGCAGCATCACCACAACCACCCCATCCAAGTCGCAAGCAGCAGCGGCTGCAGCAGCTGCAGCGGAGATGGCAGAGAGCGACAGTGACGACGAAAGCGCACCAGTAGGGGGGGTATCAGGGGCTGGAGTGGAAGGGAAGGCTGGCAGGAAAAATCCCGCAGCAGCAGGGGCAGGAGGAGGGGCAGGTGGGGGAGGAGGAGGGGGAGCGGGGGAGGGGGTGGGCGACGGGAGTTATGGTGGGAGTGTGGGGGCAGGAGGGGGAAGGGTGGGTGTGTTAGAGGCAGGTTCTGGTGTTCCTGGTGCTGCGGCCACTGCTGCGAGTGGTAGCAGCAGCAGTGCACTCATGGGCAATGTGGGCATCACCAGCAGCAGTTCTGGGGAAGCTTCGCTCCAACCAGGAGGAAGCTCTGCTGTTGCTGGCACTGCTGCCGCCTCTGCCACTGCTGCTACTGCTGCTGGTGCTGCTCCTGGTGGCAGCACCGCCGGCATGAGTGGCAACAGCAGCAGTAGCGGTGGCAGTGGCAGTGGTAGCACGGTAGCTGGTGCTGGTGCGGGTTCTCTGCCTGTGGGAGGAGGTGGGGCGTCCATGCTGCTGGCAAGGCTGGGGAACAAGGGGGAGCGCATGGGAGATGGGTTTGTGTCGTCAGTTAAAGGGCTGTTTAAAGACCAGCTTGGAAGAGCCAAGCATGTGCTTAAGAGCAAAGAGCAGCAGCAGCAGCAGGTGCATCACCATCACCACCACCGGCATCATCAGCAGCACCAGCAGCAAAAGCAGCAGAAGCAGCAGGAGGAGGAGGTGAAAGAAGGAGGAGGTGGCAGGAGTGGAGAGGAGGGTAGTGTGGGTGGGGACAGTGGGGCGGTGAAGGGAGAGGGGAGTGGGGGGTCTCCTGTGGTGCCTACAAGGAGTGGAGAGGTGGAGAAGGAGAAGGAGAAAGGGATGAGCTCACTGGTTGCGAAGGGGCAAGCTTTGGTGCCCAAGCTGTGGACTCCAAAACAGAGTGCAGGTATGTGCGGTGGAGTGATCAAGGATAAGATTGAGCTGGAGGTGTGGGACCTTGCGATTGGTCATAGGAAGGTGTTTTTTGCGAAGCTAATTTTGAGCAAGGTAAGAAACAAAGCATCCAAGCGGCTTCTTTCCTTTCTTGCATCTGCAACTGCGAGACATTGCTTCAACCCGTTTCGTTATTTTGTTCTGTTTCAATGGTTTTCCTTCTGAGCCTATGTTTGTTTCAACTCCAGGTCGCATTGATGAAGCCATCCCGGAGGTGTCTGAAGAGGGAGCTGCATCAGAGTCCACTAGTGGAGCAATTGGTACTGCTATGGAGAAGGGCACAACTTGATGGTCCGTCCATATAGTAATCTGATGGCTTTTCACCAAGTTTGTTCCCAGTTCAGTTGCTCTATGCACACTATTGATGCTGTTGCGGTAAATATAGTATAGTGGCAATGTTAGGCACAGACTGACTACCACTAACAAATGACCTGCAAAACACTTCAAATGTACTGTGCACTTCTGTCTTCGTTTATAATTATTCTCTCATAGTTATTAGTGCAGCGCTTTGTAGTGATATGCAGTCAACCACAGACGAGCATGGCGGTGATCCACAAACCAAGTGAGCTATCCCAATTCGCAACCAGAAAATTCCAGTTTCGGTTCTACGATTCGGAAAATTGTTGCGATCACATCTCAGTCTCGGCAATCAACAGATCCGTCGCTGGATCACTCGTCGTCATGGCTGCCAAAGGCCAAGTCCGTAAGCTGCTTCGCTATCGTCCTCTATAACTTGTGTCCATTCGGCGGCTCCGTGTCTCATGATCTCCCTACTCGGTTGACAGGCTGATTTATTGGACTGCATAGACTGGCCATCAGTGGAGTGCCTGAACGCAAAACCTGGGAAGAGTGTAGATAATGCAATCAAGCAGGTCAGTTTCTTTAGCAGATACTTTCGAGGATCGTGATTCTTCAGCCGTTGCACGTCGAGACGCACCTCGAGTTTCTTTTTTCACGTTCGCAGGGATATAGAGAGGACGATGGTTTGTTTTTGGAGAGCGACGTCGATGAGCAACTACTGGTCTACGTCCCATTCAACCAAGTAGTCAAGCTTCATTCGATTGTGATCAAGGGTCCCGAAGAAGAAGGTACGAATTCCGCGACCGCGTGGTGATTTTTCTTCAACCCTCAAATACGATTCATATTTCATCTTGGCGCTCGCAGGACCCAAATGCATAAAGCTCTACTCAAACAGGCCGAACATGGGATTCAGGTAGGATTATAAGACATTTTTGTTTTCCCACCTAATCTGTTATCGTTTCATCGAAGTCTGAGAAAGGTATCTCGTATGACGCAGCAATGTGAGCGACATACCGCCGAGTGACACCATCAATCTTACAGCTGATCAGGTTCAGGTGAGAAAGGGTCTTTTTTTTTGCATCTATATTGTTTAAAGGGCTTTGTGTGATGTGTAGATTTATCATCATAGTAACTTGATATTGCAGGAAGGGAAGGCAACACCTTTGAAATATGTGAAGTTTCAAAATGTCAGAAGGTAATACCTGAACTTTCAGCCTTCGAAGTTACATGTTTATAAGCTATCTCTTACAGTTTTTCCCCTTCGCAGTCTTACTATATTCATCGAGAGCAACCAGTCGGGTGATGATGTCACTAAGGTTCAGAAGTTGGCCATACTTGGAAGCACGTGAGTGCACTAACTCGTTCCAGCCCCGCTGACTGCCCCTGTTATTCTCTTCCTTGTTGAGGTGCCTTCATTTCAATTGAGATTTAACGTCATCCCATTTGTATGCAGGGTTGAGACCACCAATATGAAAGACCTGAAGAAAATTGATGATAAACAAGGTTAAAATTGCCACATAGAAACAGATGGCAGCTTGGTAGGTGTTGGGCGGAATGCCTTTCCTCAACAGTAGAAGCTTGCATTGTAGGGCATGCAGGTCCATTATGTGAAAAACATGATCTGTATAGAAAGTTATTCTTGTGCCCTCTTTTACGGAGATAAAGACACTGAGTCTGAAAAGGGAGGGTGAGGGACTGGAAAGGTGAGTGAGCAAGGGAGTAATTTATGACTGGATTGACAAAAATTTGAGCACTACCTAGTGAAATTGGTAGTTTTTTTTTGTCCACGGTTGGCTTGTCCAGTTTCACGTTTCTCCAACGGAGCGTGAGAGACGGGAAGAGTGAGTGAGAAAGGAGTAATCTATGATCCGCATTCGGTTTCGTTGCGTTTCTCCAAGTGGGTCAGGCTAAGTTTCACGGGCGAAGCCATTTCTGATAGACCACAAGCACCATGGAGCGAAATAGCAAATGTTGATTTATTACTGAAACAAAATACAAGTCTGGCGCAAGGGTGCAAACTATACAATCTAGTACTCCTCGTTCTCATCATCACCGGGCTCAGTGGAGTCAGCACCGACTTCCTCGTAGTCCTTCTCGAGCGCAGCCAGGTCCTCACGGGCCTCAGAGAACTCGCCCTCCTCCATGCCCTCACCGACATACCAGTGCACGAATGCACGCTTCGCGTACATGAGGTCGAACTTGTGGTCGATCCGGCTGAAGACCTCCGCCACGGAAGTGGAGTTGGAGATCATGCACACAGCACGCTGCACCTTGGCGAGATCGCCACCAGGCACCACGGTGGGAGGCTGGTAGTTGATACCGCACTTGAATCCAGTAGGGCACCAGTCGACGAACTGGATGGTCCTCTTGGTCTTGATGGTAGCAACGGCGGCGTTGACATCCTTGGGGACGACGTCTCCACGGAACATCAGGCAGCAGGCCATGTACTTGCCGTGGCGAGGATCGCACTTGGCCATCATGCTTGAAGGCTCGAACGCGCTGTTGGTGATCTCAGCCACGGACAGCTGCTCGTGGTAAGCCTTCTCGGCGGAGATGACCGGAGCGTAGGAGGACAGCATGAAGTGAATGCGAGGGTAGGGCACCAGGTTGGTCTGGAACTCAGTCACGTCCACGTTCAGAGCGCCGTCGAAGCGGAGGGAGGCAGTCAGGGAAGAAATGACCTGAGACACGAGACGGTTCAGGTTCGTGTAGGTGGGACGCTCGATGTCCAGGGAGCGGCGGCAGATGTCGTAGATGGCCTCGTTGTCGAGGAGAACGGCGACATCGGTGTGCTCCAGGAGCGAGTGGGTGGAGAGCACGGAGTTGTACGGCTCAACCACGGAGGTCGACACCTGAGGAGACGGGTAGACGGTGAAGCCGAGCTTGGACTTCTTGCCGTAGTCCACGGACAGGCGCTCCAGGAGGAGGGAGCCGAGACCGGAACCGGTACCACCGCCAACGGCGTTGAAGACCAGGAATCCCTGGAGACCAGTGCAGTTGTCAGCAAGCTTGCGGATGCGGTCAAGGCAGAGGTCAACGATCTCCTTGCCAACTGCGATAAAAAACGTAGGATAAAAGGAACGATTAGTAACAGATCTAAGTCTGTTTAATGGAATCACTGAGTAAAATAGATTGTCAATATTAAATACGAATTAAATACGAAGACACGTGAAGGAGGCGAGTCACTTACTGGTGTAGTGACCACGGGCGAAGTTGTTGGCAGCATCCTCCTTGCCGGAGATGAGCTGCTCGGGGTGGAACAGCTGCCTGTAGGCACCGGTCCTGACCTCGTCGATCACAGTCGGCTCCAGATCGAGGAACACAGCACGAGGAACGTGCTTGCCAGCGCCAGTCTCGCTGAAGAAGGTGTTGAAGGCGTCATCGCCTCCTCCGCAGGTCTTCTCGCCGGTCATAAGCTGGCCATCAGGCTGGATGCCATGCTCCAGGCAGTAGAGCTCCCAGCAGGCGTTGCCGACCTGGATACCGGCCTGGCCGATGTGGACGGAGATGCACTCACGCATGGTGGCGAAGTTAGTATTCAAAAATCTACAAGGGTTCTGAAGGCTAAGGAAAGCTAGAAGGCTAGAAGGCGGATAGCTCAAAGGCTCTCGTGTGACGATATCAGGTCGTCAACACTCGATGCGTGAAGAAGAAATGGTTCTGGGGAGGTTATATAATCCTTGTCACAGGTAAGCCAGCAGACTCAGGAGGTTGGATGAGAGTTTCTCCCTGACAGGGTGTGTGCCCCAGATCTGAATTCAGGAGGCAAACCTCGGTGGTTTGGTAAATTCCGAGCCAAGACGGTCTGGCACAATCCCTGGGCAAACGGGAAACCATACCTACGAGGGAGTCGTGGAAATATTCCCAACACGGACAGATCCCAAAGCGTCCGAGCTTCGGAGAAACTCGAGGCTGTCATGGCCCAATCTCGATGGGCTTTTCCACTGGTCAAAGCGGCATTCTGAAATTCCTGAAGCACGAACCGCGGCGATAACGCGGGAACCCGCTGACATGTGTCAGGGACATTAGCGCGGAGAAATCCACTCACACACTGGATGGCGGGGTTACTGCTTTCGCGAGCTTCGTGCAACTGAAAAATCAAGGCTGGCTGGGAGCTGATTGGAAGTGCCTGACCTCGGTCTTGGCGGGAAAAAGGGTCTCTGGTTGTGGAGAGCATAGAACACCGCACTCGGAACTGCATAGAAAAGAATTGTAACAAGATGGTGCTTAAGAAAGAAAATGTGCTTTCAGCCAGACTTTCCTATGGTTCATAAACTTACGAGGACTCAATACAGGCCAGATGTAAGCACCATTTCTATCCATTTGTTTCAACTACCATGGTTGGCTGAGAACGGATCCTCCCAAATCGACTACTTCACATTTAGTTGTTTTTGTGGTTGCAATACATGTGAGTTGCACCTTCATGATCCAAAATTCCCTACAAGTTATCCAATAAGAAGGGAACCTATTCACTCCACTACTTGGCTTTGCCCTTACCCTTGCCACCAGGCAAGGGGGCAAGCCCCCCACCCAGACCCAGAGGAGCATCCCCTTGACTTGTTTCCCCATTTGCGGTAGCTGCAGGCTTGCTTGCTGCCGCTGCTGCTCCCGCACCTTTCTTTCCTCCAGCTTTCGTGGGAGGCGGAGCTCCTGAGACAGCACCAACGCCAACACCAAGGCCCACACCGCCAAGCCCAGCAGGCGCCGCCGAACCACCTGCCGAGCCAGCTGCCGGAGCAGGTGCCGAGCCTGTCTTACTAGCGGAAGAGCTAGCCGCACCAGAAGCTGGTGACGTGCTATTGATGAAATTAATCAGTTCTTCCATGTCCATTGCACTGGGTGCACCGGCTCGGGCACCTGCCGAACCTGCAGCTCCTCGTAGGTTCACCCCCCGAGCCGCTGCTTTCCGCCGAGCCTCTGCAGCAGCCCTGGAAGCCCGCTCGTCCACACCTCTGGCTCGAATGCCAGTGCCTGAGGAGCCTGTAGCTCCCATGCCTCCGCCGAACCTGCCTGCACCAGCTCCGGGAGCAGGTGGGGGGACCTCTCCCCGAAGCAGAGCGTCAGCCACGGCACGCTGGTACGAGGTGGAGCCTCCTGCTCCGGGCGCTGCTGCTGCCTGCAGCACCTGAAGCAGCTCCGGCCGTTGCTGAAAGAAAAGGAAGGCATGGGCAAGAGGAAAAAGCGTAGATCAGGAATCCGAATCCAGACTATCTGCAGCACGCCAACAATGATGGCAACATGGACAAAGAATGGCAATGCTTTATGTGTTCGAAATGGCAGCCTCGGCATACCTTGAGAGCTTCGGCCACACGGAGAGCCGCTGCTTGTTGCTGCTGGACTGTTGCTGCTGATTGCCCCACCTTCTGCTTTTGCGCCTGTGGAGACGTGGAGGGTAAGGGGAAAGGCATGGGAGGGAAAGCGAACAGAAGTGAGTGAGAGCTGCTGGTTGAGGTACGACTGCACTACAACCACTCCCAAGCATCGCATGCACGCACCCGACCCCTTCATGGTGCTTGAGCAATGCAAGCAAGCACTCATTCCCATGCACTACCCCACATGCACACACGTAAATGCATTTCCACACACGCACTAAATCATACGTGGCAGTCGCACTCACCCTGAGCTCGCGGTCGAGGAATGACTGCACCCACTGCTCCGACTCCTTGGCGCTGCTCGAGTGATCAACCCACTCACTCACATGCAATCTCCCCGCATGCACACATCAATGCATCATCACCAACAACCACAGCACTCACCCTGAGCTCGCGGTCGAGGAACGACTGCACCCACTGCTCCGACTCGGTGCTGCTTGAGTGATCAACCCATGCATTCAAATGCACACATGCTACACATACACACACGCCAACGTGTTCCCCCCACTCACCCTGAGCTCGCGGTCGAGGAACGACTGCACCCACTGCTCCGACTCCTTGGTGCGCGGGTCCTCCTTCCCCACCGCCTTCTCAAACACCGCCTGCGCCTTGCGCTCCTCCTGTGGTGGGGGGAGACGGGGAGAAAGGAGCGAGGGGAGAAAATAAGGGAGGGTCCTCCTTCCCCACCGCCTTCTCAAACACCGCCTGCGCCTTGCGCTCCTCCTGTGGTGGGGGAAAGGCAAAGGTAAGAGTGGGTATGGTGGGCCAAGGGAGACGGGAGCGAGGTGGCAGGAAAGAAAGGAGGGTCCTCCTTCCCCACCGCCTTCTCAAACACCGCCTGCGCCTTGCGCTCCTCCTGGAGGGGAAGGGGTGGGTGGGTGGATGGGGGAGGAGAAGAGAAAGAGAAAGGTGAGCGTCCTCCTTCCCCACCGCCTTCTCAAACACCGCCTGTGCCTTGCGCTCCTCCTGTGGTGGGGGGAGACGGGGAGAAAGGAGCGAGGGGAGAAAATAAGGGAGGGTCCTCCTTTCCCACCGCCTTCTCAAACACCGCCTGCGCCTTGCGCTCCTCCTGTGGTGGGGGAAAGGCAAAGGTAAGAGTGGGTATGGTGGGCCAAGGGAGACGGGAGCGAGGTGGCAGGAAAGAAAAGAGGGTCCTCCTTCCCCACCGCCTTCTCAAACACCGCCTGCACCTTGCGCTCCTCCTGGAGGGGAAGGGGTGGGTGGGTGGATGGGGGAGGAGAAGAGAAAGAGAAAGGTGAGCGTCCTCCTTCCCCACCGCCTTCTCAAACACCGCCTGCGCCTTGCGCTCCTCCTGTGGTGGGGGGAGACGGGGAGAAAGGAGCGAGGGGAGAAAATAAGGGAGGGTCCTCCTTTCCCACCGCCTTCTCAAACACCGCCTGCGCCTTGCGCTCCTCCTGTGGTGGGGGAAAGGCAAAGGTAAGAGTGGGTATGGTGGGCCAAGGGAGGCGGGAGCGAGGTGGCAGGAAAGAAAGGAGGGTCCTCCTTCCCCACCGCCTTCTCAAACACCGCCTGCGCCTTGCGCTCCTCCTGTGGTGGGGCAAAGAGGGGATTTTGAGAGTGCGAATGGTGGGTTAGGGGAGAGGAGAGAGAATGGGGCAGAACAGAACAGAAGAACGAATCCCTCACTCACTCCCAACAACTGCACGCTTTATACCCCCAATGTAACGCACCTGTAGAGCGAGCTTGAAGGCGCCCATGGAAGAGAACGCAAGGGCGAGCGCATGGTGACACACGGCCACCTGCACGTGATTCTCCCCCAGCAGCTTCTCACTGACTCGCACAGCCTCCTGCAGGTATTTCATGGCATTCTGTAGCTTGCCCATGTCCTGGTGACGAAGGGATTGGAGGGAGGGGGGATGATGAAGGGGGGGTTGCAGGGAGGAAAGAAGGGAGGGAAAGGTGTATTGAGGAAGGGTAAAGCAGTTTCTCACTCACTCACACTACCTCCTGCTGATACTTCATCGCATTCTGTGGCTTGCCTGCCCATGTGTCTGCCCATGGAAGAGAAAGCCAAGACGAAGGCGTGGTGTTCAACAGGAAAAAGGAGGGGGGAGGGGAGGGGAGGAGGTGACTTGAGAGGTGGCCAGAAGCTTCTAACTCTTGAAAAACTCTTTAGTGATTTCAACATTGCACCGCCTTTTGAGGAGACCCACTTGTGGTCTCAACAGCATCGCTTCCTGGTGGTCACATGCCATTCACACGCATCGTACCCAACCCCACACCACACCACCGCACACACACCTGGTAAGTGAGGGCGATGTTGACAAACAGAGAAGCCACCTCCGGGTGGTCGTTGCCTGCAGAGAGCGAGAGCAGCTGCAGGGTGCGCTTGAAGTGGCGCAGAGCGAGCTCGGACTCTCCCATGGCGTGGAAGTAGAGCGCCATGTTGCCGTAGCTGGTGGTGGTGGGGGGGGGGGGGGGGGGGGGGGGGGATGTGGGGAAAGGGACGGAAGACAGATGCTGAGGGGAGCAGAGAGCAGGTTGCGCTTGAAGTGACGCAGAGCAAGCTCGGACTCTCCCATGGCGTGGAAATACAGCGCCATGTTGCCGTAGCTGTGTGGGTGATTGGGGGGGAGAAGGGGTTGTGAGGGGGTGGGGTGAGGAAAGAGAAGAGGAGGGAGGGGAGGAGAGGGAGCGGACAGGACATGGCATGATGGCACGGCATGACGTAGCATGGGGTGCAACACAGCATGTGTCAGGGAACAAGAGGCGGGCATGGCATGACATGACATGACATGACAGGGTATGTCATGGCACGGAAATCACAACAAGACAGTATTGAATGTCCCATGGGAAGAGAGGCGGGCATGGCATGGGGAGCCATGGTCACCGGGTATCCACGTGGCGGAGTGCTATTGGTGGACATACTGACCGGAAGCACATGGGACAGGTGCACCCGGCTAATTTGCCACCGTGACTGTGGAATGCAATAAGCAAAGAGGAAAAAAGGGGGCTGCTACAAAGGTTCTCAAAGGTGCCAAACGGTACTAGAGGGTGCTAAACGATTCCCCTATCACCCGTGGTTGTGTGTGGAAAAGGGGGGGGGGGGGTGCAGGGGAGTCGCCTGGCTAGTAGTAACCCACTTGTGCACGGTGTCGGTGACAAAAGTAGTGTTTTGAGAACGAGACGTCTCAAAACACTAGGTTTATCGCCTGGCTAGTAACCCACCTGTGCACGGTGTCGGGGTGGTCTGTCCCCACCATCCTCTCTTTGATGATCAGCTCGCGGTGCTGCTGCTGTAGTCCCTAACACCCTAGCCCATAAACCCCGATTCTGAACCATGAGCAACAGAGCCTCAGCCCACCTGTGCACGGTGTCGGGGTGGTCCGTCCCCACCATCCTCTCGTTGATGATCAGCTCACGGTGCTGCTGCACAAGGCACCGCGCCCCTGTTCCTCCACCTTGCACTCCCCACACTTCATCATACTCCTTACTCCACACCCACCTGTGCACGGTGTCGGGGTGGTCTGTCCCCACCACGCGCTCGTTGATAATCAGCTCGCGGTGCTGCTGCAGAATGGCGTTGCCGGTCTCCCCCGCGTGATAGAAGATCAGAGCCAGGTACCTGGCTCAAACGGTTGGTGCAGGGATGGGAATGGGGGAGGGGGTGGAGGAGGGGGTGGCACAAACGGGGGGTGGAGGAGGGGGTCTTACAAACGAGGGTTGGGGAGAGGGCACAAACTATACATGACAAATGGCTGACGAGGAGTGGAAGAGCATATCTGAATGTATCTCTGCTTACCTGCAGCATGCTGCAACGTTTTTTGAGTCGACTAAAAAATCGACTTACTACACGCGGAGTGGAATGGAAGAGCACGTCTGAATGTATCTCTGCTTACCTGCAGCATGCTGCAACGTTTTTTGAGTCGACTAAAAAATCGACTTACTACACGCGGAGTGGAATGGAAGAGCACGTCTGAATGTATCTCTGCTTACCTGCAGCATGCTGCAACGTCCAGATGAAGAGGTCCGCAAACCTGGAAAAGGGGGAATTGGGAGGGAGGTGGGGGAGGAGGGAGGGAGAGGTGGGAGTTGGTTTGGGAGGGGGGTATGGGAGGAGGAAGGGACGAGGAAAGAGGAGAGGGAGAGAATCAGGGCATGAAGCGAAAAAAAGGGACGGAGAGAACGGGAAGGGTAAGGTAAAGGGGAGGGGGGGTTGGGGAAGTAGAGAATGTTGATAGGCAAAAGCAGCGCATTACCACCCCCCCACCTCCCTTCCTCCCTAGCTCCTTTCCAATCACAACCCCTAATCTCCCCCCCCTCTTTCTTACAGCCCTGAGCCCTCACCTGCTGCAGGATCTGGTAGGCCTCGCTGAGGATCTCAAAGGCGGAGTTGAGAGTCGTCTCGTGCTCTCCTCCCTTCATGACCCCAATCCCAAACCCCCCGCCCAGCACCCCCTATCCCCTTCAGCAGCCCCAAGGCCCCACCTGCTGCAGGATCTGGTACGCCTCGCTGAGGATCTCAAAGGCGGAGTTGAGAGTCGTCTCGTGCTCTCCTCCCTTCATGACCCCAATCCCAAACCCCCCGCCCAGCACCCCCTATCCCCTTCAGCAGCCCCAAGGCCCCACCTGCTGCAGGATCTGGTAGGCCTCGCTGAGAATCTCAAACGCGGAGTTGAGCGTTGTCTCGTGCTCCCGCAGCCACTGCCCGCTCTGAGGGGTCGCGGAGAAGCGCGGACGCAGAGGCAAGCCGACCTGGGGGGACGCGGGGAAGGGGGGGATGTGCAGGAAGAGGTGCGGGAAATGGGATCAGCTGCTCGTGCTCCCGCAGCCACTGGCCACTCTGAGGGGTGGCGGAGAAGCGCGGGCGCAGGGGCAAGCCCACCTGGAAAGGAAGAGAGGGCGTGTGTTCAAAGGATGTGGGCGTGGGGCACGTGGGAATTGGGCAGGGTATGAATTGTGCCATCAGAAGAGACACAGGCATGGCATGGCATCTCATGGACAGGCAAGGGTATGTACCATGGGAAGAGAGGCGGGCATGGCATGAGTATGTACCATGGGAAGAGAGGCGGGCATGGCATGAGTATGTACCATGGGAAGAGAGGCGGGCATGGCATGAGTATGTACCATGGGAAGAGAGGCGGGCATGGCATGAGTATGTACCATGGGAAGAGAGGCGGGCATGGCATGGGAAGCCATGGTCACCGGGTATCCACGTGGCGAAACGCTATTGGTGGACATACTGACCGGAAGCACATGGGACAGGTGCACCCGGCTAATTTGCCACCTGGATTATGCAATGTGTGCCAAGCGGATTTGCCATTGTTCAAAGATTCTTAAAACGCCCCACCCTTGAATCGTTCTATGCAATGCTACTACTGCCACCAATTAAGGGCTACTTTTGAAAAATCTCAAAAATATATTGCTAGGACGCCCCACCCTTGAATCATTCGATTGTGCAATGCAATGCTACTGCCTCCAAGTAGGGTGCCAGCAGTGCCACGCACGCACACCCCGCCCACCACGCCCCGATCCCTCCCATGCCATTGCACATTCCTCCTCTCCATACCCTGTGCACGAGGCTCTTGCCCTTCTCCAGCAGCTTCTGAGCGTCGCTGCACGCAGGCGAGGCGAGGAGAGAGCGAGACTAGCCTCCTGCCCACACTACACCCTATGTACGCACTGCTGCAATCCCCCCATCCCTCCTCACATACCTTGTGCGCGAGGCCCTTGCCCTTCTGCAGCAGCTTCTGAGCGTCGCTGCAGGCGGGTGAGGCGAGGAGAGAGAGATGCGATCCTACTGCCCACTAACTAACCCCCTTCAACACAACGCCAACAACACTGTACACACACACCCCTTCTCTCCATACCTTGTGCACGAGGCTCTTGCCCTTCTCCAGCAGCTTCTGAGCGTCGCTGCACGCAGGCGAGGCGAACTTGACTTGCGGCAGCAGGTCGCACACGTCTGCGATTGCAATGGGCACGTCGCACTCGAGATTGTAGTCCCTCGCAGCCAGGACTATGCCCATCTGTTGAAGTGGGGGCAACGGGTAACACAGGGAGAACAGGGAGAGGGGGAAGGGAGTAAGCGAACTTGACTTGCAGCTGTCGGGTGAGGCGAACTTGACTTGCGGCAGCAGGTCACACACGTCTGCTATGGCAATGGGCACGTCGCACTCAAGATTGTAGTCCCTGGCTGCCAACACAATGCCCATCTGTGAGTGGAACAACGGGGACATCGGGAGAGGGGAGTGGGCAGAGATTATTATCAGGGCAGCAGGTCGCACACGTCTGCGATCGCAATGGGCATATAGCATTCGAGGTTGTAATCCCTCGCTGCCAGGACTATGCCCATCTGTAGTGGAGACACAGGAAGGAAGGGCAGTGGGGAGAAGGGGAAATAATGAGGAAGAGGCTATATGCAGCAGGCCCAAACACAATCCCATGGCACTAGGCATGTCGCAATGGAGAGGAGATAATAGATTTTGGCTGCCATGAGCATTAGGCCTTTTGAGGGCCAAAGGTCACTAAAGATCATAGTTTTCAGTTGCCAGGATTAGGCCCACGCCTGAAAATATGCCTGCTGCTGGAGTACGGACTGACCTTGAGGCAGATGTTGCGGAGGGTGGCGAGGCTGCGAACCATCTTGCGCGTCTCGGGAGGGATCTCGAACTGTGCACAGAACAGAGGAGGGGAGGGCAGGGCAGGGGAAAACAGATTAAGGGAGGACAGGGCAGGCGAGGCTGAGGGTGGCGAGGCTGCGAACCATCTTGCGCGTCTCGGGAGGGATCTCGAACTGTGCACAGGACAGGGCATGGCAGGACAGGGAGGGCAAGACAGGAGGGCAGGGCAGAGCAGGGAAGGGTAGGGTAGGGCAGGGCAGGGTAGGGCAGGGCAGGGTAGGGCAGGGCAGGGCAGAGGAAGTCAGGGAAACGCCCATGGAGATAGGGAGATGGACAGACGGAAGCAGAAAATGAGTAAATATCTAAGGATAGCAGCAGAAAATACATGTGAGACAGACGGAATGAAAAAGGGATCAGGGCAGAGATGCTGAACATACGAGGAAAAAAAAATCGTTAAAAAGGGAGCAGGGGAGGGGGGCATGGTGACAGATGCAATGATGATAACATTCCTTCACAGCATTCCTTATCATTCCAGGCAACTATAACCAAGTTTCAGTCTCTCACCTGATACTTGTACTTGACGCCTTCAGTGATATCAGACCACACCATATCCGCTGTGATACGAGTATACCCCGGCACATCCACCACAAACAAAAACGCCTCCTTCTTTTCACTCAACTCTACAACCAGGTTCCTGTCTCTCTCACCTGATACTTGTACTTGACGCCTTCAGTGATATCAGACCACACCATATCCGCCGTGATACGAGTATACCCCGGCACATCCACCACAAACAGAAACGCCTCCTTCTTCTCCTCCCCCTCCTCCTTCCTCTCCTCCCCATCCTTCCTCTCTCCCCCCTTCCCCTTCTTCTTCTTCTTCCCCCCGCCGCCGCCCACGCCGCCCTCCGTTTTGTCCGTATCCCCGACGCCGGGGAGCGTGGGCGGCGGCGTGGTGGTGGAGGTGCCGAGGAAGCAGTTGAGGAAGTGGGCGATGGCGCCGGCCACGTCCTGCTCGAGCGTCTCGCGGAGAACAGCTTTAAGCACGTGCTTGGTGGCCCTCACCACCATCTCCGCCACGCACAGCCAGTACACCTGCTCCACGTCAGCCACTTCTTTTGCCACCTGGCATTGGGGGAGGGGGAAGTGGGGGGGAAGGGGGGAGGGAGGGGGGAGGGGAGGATGAGTGGAGGGAGTAGGGGTTGAGAATGAGGGAACAGGATATGGAAGCGCAAGGGGGAATGAACGAGCACTGAGGGAGTCGGGAGACAGCAAGGGAGGGAGCAGTTGAGGAAGTGGGCGATGGCGCCGGCCACGTCCTGCTCGAGCGTCTCGCGGAGAACAGCTTTAAGAACGTGCTTGGTGGCCCTCACCACCATTTCAGCTACGCACAGCCGATACACCTGCTCCACGTCAGCCACCTCCTTCGCCACCTGGCAATTTTGGGATGGAGAGGGGCGCACGGGGAGAAGGTGTGGTGGAGGGCAGGGGACCGGGAGAGGGGGGACGATCGAGGGGGAAGGCGGGAGAGGAGTACAGATGCGTATGCATGTGTATGATTATCCATACACATGTATCAGAATGCATACACCATGCACTCACCCACCTTGCACTCACCCTGCATGCCCACTCACCCGCCCCAGGCAGCGCAGGTTGACGCCGTGGGCGTGCATGGTGCTTGCAAGCGCGCACCCATCCACGGGCCACCCCTCGGAGCTCTTGATGTCCGCCACTAGTGCCCCCTGACCCACGCACTGCGTGCATGAGTGACACTCACCCGCCCATCCAAGCAAGGCCCAGGGGAGACACTCACCCGGCCCAGGTAGCGCAGGTTGACGCCGTGGGCGTGCATGGTGCTTGCGAGCGAGTGCCCTGCCTATGCCATCATGCCTATGCTATGACTCACGTACACACCATGCCCACCACACTCACCCGGCCCAGGTAGCGCAGGTTGACGCCGTGGGCGTGCATGGTGCTGGCGAGTGAGTGCCCTGCCTACGCCATCATGCCTATGCTATAACTCACATACACACCATGCCCACCGCACTCACCCGGCCCAGGTAGCGCAGGTTGACGCCATGGGCGTGCATGGTGCTGGCGAGCGAGCGCCCATCCACGGGCCACCCCTCGGAGCTCTTGATATCTGCCACTAGTGCCGGCAGCGCCGTATCAATCAGGTACTTGCCTGCCTTGCGCACCAACGCCTCGTCCTCCTCCACCTCCTGGATTGGTTGTGCAAGGATGGGAGGGAGGGAAAACAATATGGGTTAGAGTGGTTGCTTTTCACCCCTCCGAGCTCTCAAGGGCTGGCAGCGCAGTCTCAATCAGGTACTTGCCCGCCTTGCGCACCAACGCCTCGTCCTCCTCCACCTCCTGCCGTGGTGCATGGGTGGGAGAGAGAGGGAGACAAATCTGGGTTAGAGGGGTTGTTTCCACCCCCCTAGGAGCTCTTGATATCCGCCACCAGCGCTGGCAGCGCAGTCTCAATCAGGTACTTGCCTGCCTTGCGCACCAACGCCTCATCCTCCTCCACCTCCTGTGTTGTATGGGCATTGGGAGGGAAGAGAAGAAATCGATGGGTTGGGTTGAGATAGACAAACTCTCACCCTCACACTCGATTAGCACTCTCTCAGATTCCAATCACCCTCACTCGTACTCGCTCTCATCCACTCACCTTGGGATCATCAGCATTCAGATTGAACAGCACGGCAGGCATCTCGCCCTTCTCCCTCAGCGCCTCGACCTCCTCTGCACTCGGCCTCCCAGTCACCTTGCAATCAACTCAGACTCTCTCACTCGCTCATTCACGCTCACACGCACTGACTCTCACCCTCGCACTCTGATCGCTCACACCCTCTTGCACTCCACCCACCTTGGCATCATCGGCCAGTTCAAACTCCGTGAGTACCTTCGGATTAAACAGCACGGCAGGCAGTTCGCCCTTCTCCTAGTCCCACTCACCCGCTCTTATTCCCACTACCACACACCTTGGAATCATTGGCCAGCTTGAGCTCAGTGAGTGCAGGATTAAACAGCACATCAGGCAGCTCGCTCTTTCCCCCTCTTAGTCACACTTACACTCACGTGTACTTGCTCTCTCACACACACACCTTGGGATCATCAGCCAGCTTAAATTCCGTGAGCGCATTCGGATTAAACAGCACGTCAGGCAGTTCGCCCTTCTCCCTCTCAGCCATTCTCACCCTCACACTCAACACGTACTCCTCCCCACACTCACCTTGGGATCATCAGCCAGTTTGAACTCAGTGAGCGCGTTGGGGTTGAACAGCACGGCAGGCAGCTCGCCCTTCTCCCTCAGCTCCTCCACCTCCTCTGCACTCGGCCGCTCACTCATTCATACTCACGTGCACTGACTCCCAGTCTCGCACTTGACCACCCACCTTAGAATCATCGGCCAGCTTAAATTCCGTGAGCGCGTTGGGGTTGAACAGCACGGCAGGCAGCTCGCCCTTCTCCCGCAGCGCCTCCACCTCCTCGCCACTCGGCCGCTCGCTCACGCCCTGCTGCGCCATCCACCGCTCCACCTGCTCCTCCCTCGGGTTAAACAGCACAGCAGGCGGCTCGCCTTCTCCCTCTCAGCCATTCTCACCCTCACAGTCAACACGTACTCCTCCCCACACTCACCTTGGCATCATCAGCCAGTTTGAACTCAGTCAGCGCGTTGGGGTTGAACAGCACGGCAGGCAGCTCGCCCTTCTCCCTCAGCTCCTCCACCTCCTCTGCGCTCGGCCGCTCACTCACTCCCTTCTGAGCCATCCACCGCTCCACCTGCTCCTCCCGGCAAAACTTCTCCACCAGCTCGGGGCGGAGAATCGCCAGGCGGTTGGCCGCATTGGCGGCGTTGGCAGCGTTGGCAGTGGTGTTGGTATCGGTGCCGTCGCTACCGGTGGTAGTGGTGGTGGTGGTGGTGGTGGTGGTGGTGGTGGTGGCGGTGAAATTGGCGTCGCGGGGAGTGAGGCGGATCAGATCCAACAGGTATTTCCTGAGGGGATGGAGGCGAGGGGAGGGAGAAACAGCGGCCAGAAGGGATGATTCACTAAAACGACTGGCCTGGGAGCCAGCTATACCATCCCTCCCCGTTTGAGAGTTTACCAGCGTTGGCAGTGGTCCCTCGATTCTCCAGTGTCCCTCAGCAGTACCGTCAGTCCCTGTTTAACTCTCCGGATCCCTCCCCAACACTCCTCACCCCTCCCCACCACGCACCTGTCATCGCTGCCCAGAATGCTCTTGGTCACAACAAGCGAGCACAGCGTTGCCCCTCCCCGTCCAGCAGCCATAAACAATTGTTTCGAAACCAGTCCCTCACGCCCGTTGCTCATGCCAGCCCAGCAACCACTGGTTACCCCTCCCCACCGCGCACCTGTCATCGCTGCCCAGAATGCCCTTGGTCTCCACAGGCGAGCACAGAGTCGCCTCCTTGCCCTCAGCCATACAGTCAGACCAGCACTCCCCTGCCCCCACAACCCTCACCTCCTCGTCAATCCCTCCCCAAAACCCATCACCCCTCCCCACCACTCCCCACCGCGCACCTGTCATCGCTGCCCAGAATGCCCTTAGTCTCCACAGGCGAGCACAGCGTCGCCTCCTTGCCCTCGCCGTCCGTCACCTTGTGCTCCTTCAGGTGCAGCGCCTTGCCCAGCTCCGCCACCTGAGAGGGGGAGAGGGGGAGAGGGGGAGAGGGGCAGAGGGGGAGAGCGGGTCACATGACAGAGGGTCGCCTCATTTTCCTCATTGCCCTCCTTGCCCTCTCCGTCCGTCACCTTGTGCTCCTTCAGGTGCAGCGCCTTGCCCAGCTCCGCCACCTGAGGATGAAAGCAGGCAAGTGAAGGGGGAAGCAGTGGGGGCGGGTGACACAAAGGCCGAGTTACATGGGACTGACTCCTTGCCCTCTCCGTCCGTCACCTTGTGCTCCTTCAGGTGCAGCGCCTTACCCAGCTCCGCCACCTGAAACGTATGGCATCAGAGCCAGCAGGGAGGGAGAGAGGGGTGGACAGAGAGGGGTGGGAAGTGACAGGTAAACTGTATGTCACTTCCCGTCCCGTCAGAGTCTACGAAACGGTAACCCTGTTACATTCTGATACCCTGGTATACCAACAAGGCTCTCAGATCGCTTCACGGGCTTAACTCTGCAGTTTAGGGCTTAACGGGCTCACCCTCCCACCCACACACACGGGGCTTCACCCACACACCTCCACCGTACCTTGGGGTGGAAGGAGTCGCTCCACTTGATGGTCTTGCCTGTGTCCACCGACCCGTACAGCATCTGCATGTCAACCAACTAGCACCAGCACTGCACACACGCACGCACACACACATCCCCACACACAGCCTACCCACACCCACTCCCACCCATGCACGCACCTTGGGGTGGAAGGAGTCGCTCCACTTGATGCTCTTGCCTGTGTCCACCGACCGACCCACAAAGTGATGCAGTGAGTGAGTGAGATGCGTCACACCCCGACCTCCCTTCACCCCCACTCGCACACTCATCCATCATCGGCCAGCAGGTTCGCACCTTGGGGTGGAAGGAGTCGCTCCACTTGATGGTCTTGCCCGTGTCCACCGACCCGTACAGCATCTGAGTCGTGCGGTCGCCATACAGGATGCCCGGGATGATGCTCTGCTCAAAGAGGGGAAAGGCACAGCAGGTGAGGGATGCACAAGGGTACGGGAAGGTACAGGAGGGTAGGAGAGGGTAAGACATTTGATGGTCTTGCCTGTGTCCACCGACCCGTACAGCATCTGAGGTGGTGCGGTCGCCATACAGGATGCCCGGGATGATGCTCTGTGATGGAGGGAAGGGGGGAAAGAGGTGGAGTGAAGACAGGTTTGGGAGAACAGGCGAACGGCGGGATTTCAGGCGTGCAGTACACGATGGCCATGGAAAGCGAGTAGGAGCCCGGGGACTTCTGTGAAATGGCTTACCATGCCATACAGCAACAGCAACACGCACCTGAGCGATGACTCGGTGCCCGCGGTAGTCCACAATGGCCATGGCCAGCGAGTAGAGCCCGGGGATGTCCGCATTGTTGACTGCCATAATGCCCTTGAAGTCATTGTTGGACGATGCATACGTCACGTGTGTGGGCATACAGCGTGCATGCGCAATCACCCTGTGCCCTACCCACCTGGGCGATGACTCGGTGCCCGCGGTAGTCCACAATGGCCATAGCAAGCGAGTAGAGCCCGGGGATGTCCGCATTGTTCACAGCCATGGTGCCCTTGAGATCGTTGTTGGACGATGCATACGTTGCCTGCTCCGCCTCTGTCACTGCCGCTGCCGCTGCTGCTGCATCCTCGCCCTCCTTCTTCTCCGCCTCCTCTCCTTCCTTCTTCTCCCCTTCCTTCTTATCTCCCTCCTCTGCCTTTGCCTCCTCCGCCTTTTTCTCCTCTGCTGCCGCCTCCTGCTCTTTCTTCTCCTTCTCCTTCTTATCCTTCTTTTCTTTCTTCTTCTTATCCCTCTTCTCCTTCTTCTCCTCCTTCGTCTCCACCTTTTTCTCCTCCTCCTTCTCCCCCTCCTTCTTCCCCTCCTCCTTCCCCTCCTCTCCCCCTTCCTTCTTCTCCCCGCCCTCCCCCTCCCCCTTCTTAGCAGCCTCCGCCTCCGCCTGCTGCTTCAGCTCCGCCTCTCTAATCTGCTGCAGCGCCGCAAAATCCCCATCCACAGCAAGGGAAAAGAAGATATTATTATGAACATACATATGGAACCGATCCGCGTCATGCGGGTTGATCGGCGGGATCGACCGGCCAATCACGGCCTTCGCGCCGCGCACCGCCGAATCAGCAAACTCGCAGCTGACTCGATACAACGCCCGGTCGCGCAGAATCCGGTCTTGTAACGAGTTACGCGGTAACTCCCTGCAGCTCTGGAGCTCCTCGTTCCAGTCCCTCAGAACGCCGCTGAAATTGATACCGAAGGGGGCCATTAGAGCGTCTTCCGATCGCGCCACGTCGCGCGTGTACTGTAGCGGCCCCGTGCCGTCCGCGCCGCCCCAGATGGGCTTTGCCGCCCAGTCGTTGGGCGGCAGCGGCGCCAGCATGTTCTCGAACGGGTGGCGGTTGGCCTTGCGCTCGATCACCTCCGCGAAGGCTGAAGGGGGAGGGTCAAGTAGGGGAAGGGGAGGGCAAATGGAGAGATATTGAGGGTTATTGAAAGTTACTGACGGGCTAAAGGTGGTTAGACCTGTGCATTTGAAAGTATTTGTTTGCATCAGTGCATGATTGGATCTTTAGACATAAAAGAAAACTACAGATCGGGCAAGGGTGCAAGGGTGTGTGCAAATGCCAGGATCATGCGAGCGGGTGGGGATGCTGGTAGTGTGGTGGTGCGAACACACCAAAAACCATGGACATTGGCGTTTTTTTGGTTATTTTTCCAATGTGGCTGGTGTGGGCAAATGTTGAAGCTGCCTCAAAGAGACCGTACTTTGATTTTTTATTTTTATTCTTTATTTTTCCCGCATTGTTGGTATCATATATGCCATGACCGACAGAGAGGCATACAAGGGCATAACCCCTAAACCCAGGTTGATACCTCACATTCGGACTGCATTCGCCATATGGTGGGCGCAAGGAGGGGATATTCCAACTCCCTTTCTCTCCTTTCGAGACAGAAGTGTGTGGCTCACCTTTGGAGAAGAGCGGGCTGATCTGGCGCAGCAGCCCGATGAGAGTGGACGCGTCCAATTTGGGTTCAGCAGGGCCCGGGTCCAGCTTGCTGCAAACCGCTCCGCACACAGGCTCTCTCTCAATACACCTCAACCTTTGACAAAACAGGATCTTCGCCTCACCTTTGGAGAAGAGCGGGCTGATCTGGCGCAGCAGCCCGATGAGAGTGGACGCGTCCATCTTGGGCTCAGCGGGGCGCGGGTCCAGCTTGCGGCCGCTGCCACTGCGGTTGACAAAGAAGCCCCTCGTGTGCGCCGTCACGCAGAAGAGCTTTCCTTCCGCCGTCACCACCTCCAGATACACGAGATCGCCTTGGAGCCTGCAGAAGGAGCACAGAGGGATGGGAAACGGTTGGAAGGGGTGAGGGGTATGAGACGCATGCCACTGGGACTGCCAGCCACTGCGGTTGACAAAGAAGCCCCTCGTGTGCGCCGTCACACAGAAGAGCTTTCCCTCTGCCGTCACCACCTCCAGATACACCAGGTCGCCTTGGAGCCTGCAAAGGAGCAGAGGGATGGAATGCGGTGGCAGGGGATGGAGAGGGGTATGAGACGTGTGCCACTAGCACTGCCACTGTGGTTGACAAAGAAGCCTGCGAGTGTGCGCCGTCACGCAGAAGAGCTTGCCTTCTGCTATCACCACCTCTAGGTAGACGAGATCGCCTTGGAGCCTGCAGAGGGATGGAGAACGGTTGGAAGGAGTGGAGAGAGGTATGAGACGTGTGGTTGACAAAGAAGCCCGCGAGTGTGCGCCGTCACGCAGAAGAGCTTTCCCTCCGCTGTCACCACCTCCAGATACACCAGGTCGCCCTGCAGCCCGCAAACGAGCAGAGGGATGGAATGCGGTGGTAGGGGATGGAGAGGGGTATGAGACGTGTGCCACTAGCACTGCCACTGAGGTTGACAAAGAAGCCCGCGAGTGTGCGCCGTCACGCAGAAGAGCTTGCCTTCTGCTGTCACTACCTCCAGGTAGACGAGATCGCCCTGCAGCCTGCGAGGGGATACAGAGGGATGGGAAGCGGTTGAATTGGAAACGTAACGACAATCATCATATGTGTAATTTGCTTTCCAGTTCGCCACGATCGAGCTCGGAAAATACAGGTGAAGTAAGTCTTCTGAGGCATCTTAAAACGGGGATGATCTCACCTTCTGGGACCAGGCACAGGGTTGAAGGAGGAGAGCGCGATGCTCTCGACGCACACGCACTGACTTTTGAGTTTACCCAGAAGAAAGTAATACTGAACTCCGCGTTCTCACCTCCTGGGGCCGGGCACGGGGTTGAAGGAGGAGAACGCAATGCTCTCGACGCAAACGGGCGCGGCGTCCTCGTCCGCGCCGCCCTTGACCATCACCTTGGCCAGCACGCCCTTGGGATCATCGCCCAGCCCCACGCCCTGCTCCAGCGACGCGATCTCCTCCATCCGCGCCTTGCTGCTCGGAAGCTTCGCCTTGCGCTCCCGCTCCTTCTCCTTCTCCCTCCGCTCCTTCTCCTTCGCCTCCTCCTCCTTGCTCCGCCGCCCCTTCCCCTTCTTCCCCTTCCCGCTCTTCTTCCACTCCCCGCCCTCCTCGTCCTTCTCCCCGTCTTTCTCCCCCTTCTCCCCCTCGCCCTCCTTCCCCTCCCCCTCCTCCTTCTCATCCCCTCCAAGCTCGCGCTCCGTCGCGAGACCCTTAACTAGCTCATACTCCGCCGCCATGGCCGTAGACGCGCTAGAGTACGACCCCGCCATCGATATAAGCTCCCTCGTTTTACGCACGTGCAGCCGCACCGCGCGGTCGTCGTAGAACGTGTTGAACATCTCCAGCAGGCACCCGCCGGCTGCCACGTCAGCGACCTCCCCGATCTCCACGTAATCCATCAGGTGGTAACGCAATCCGTCCGGCTTGGTGAGGATAAGGTCGTACGCGGTATAGAAGCACGTCTCGGGCGCGTCGGCCAAAAACTGCTTCAAATCCATCACTGTATCTGCGGGGTTGACCTGAGAGGGCGAGTGGGAGCGGGGGGGAACGGGGGTGGGGAGGAGAGGGAGATGAGTCCGGCTTGGTGAGGATAAGGTCGTACGCGGTATAGAAGCACACGGGCGCGTCGGCAAGACACAGTTTAGATTCCGCTGGTTCAACTGAAAGGGGGAGAAGCGGGGACGGCTGATTAAGGCTATATTTGCTGGACCGTGCTTTTAGCAAGCTTGACCAAAATACAATTCGAGCTCATACCTATCAACTCGACCATACGTAATGTGCTCGAGCGACAGACAGTTGGAACAAAAAGCACCGTAATGTGTGACATATCGTAATTCCTTTTATTTTTTAAAAGGCATCTTAACTAGGTGTTCCTCTGTACTTGCTGTGAACAGCTGCGGCTTACGACGTCAACTCAAGCGACAGACAGTTGGAACAAACCTCACAAGACAGTGATCATACGCGCAATACCCTGGCCAGCAATCAATTGCTCCTTGTTGGAACAGAGTGAACAAACAAACAGGAAATCAGGAAAGTCACCATTCCAGCAGCCAGCTCAACCTAACAACACTTCAGCGCCAAACTGCACTCACCTGGAATTATCACTGCGAGAGGACATAATCACTTCGTCCGCAGGACATTACCGTTTCCTTCCCAAGATCTATCTCTTACGCGCCGAGCACACGTACCTGCGGTGATCTGGACCTACCTGCAGTTCGATCTCCTCTCCGGCAGGTCCCTTCACCGCAAGAGGGTACAGCTGAAGCTCATCGGCGTCCTTCTTAGCAACCCCATCGCCCTCGCCCTCTCCCTCCCCCTCCCCCTCTTTCTTCTCCGCTCCCTCCCCCTCCTTCTTTTCCTCCCCCTCCGTGGCGGCAGCATCTACTGCGGGAGCCGCGTCGGCGGGGGCGGCATCGGCTGGCTTCTGCTCTTCCGCGGCTGCGGAAGCAGCTGGCGGCGTAGTTTCCGCGTCGTTTCCCATGACGTCGCACCCGTTGACGCGTGTCAACTCCTGACGCTTAGAACGACGGTCCTACGATCAGTGTGTTCACTGATTGGTCCTGGGAATGGTAGTTCCGGTTTATCAACGAGGAAAGGAGGGGGAGGGGGGAGGGGGAGAGAGAAGAACAGTAGGAGTTCAATTTAGCACGTACGAGAGCAAAATGGAAATTAGTCGGTGCACTGCAAAACAATAGACAGCGCTTAATATATACACACTATGTGAGAATCATATTACTACAATGCGGCCGTGCTTCGCTGGGATTCCCTACACGCATCTTATTAACACTCACGTTACCGAGACGAGCAAGGAGCGCGGCAAATCTCGGATCAGACAAACCGAATCAACTGCCGAAGCCTAGTCGTGCTCAAATGGCCAAAATGGCCCAGATGAAAAAAGGAGGATTTCTAGATAAGAATAGCAGTTAGTAGTAATGCCAGAAAGATGAATGGCTAAGGATTGGGGGAACGGCGGGCGGAAACGGGGGGAGGGATTGGGGAGCATGTGCAAAATTCACGGGAAAAAGGGGAATGTATGCGCGGAAGATGTAGGGGTGGGGAAGGGCTGGCTGAAACATGACAGACACGGGGAACAGAAATGAATGGAGCTGGGACAAGGACTTAGGAACAGAACATGTGGGGGGGACAGTGGCGGATGAGGCGGGACACGTGGCGGGTTTGGGGTTCTTTGGATGACCAATCTGTGGGTGCAGCGTGGCAAGGCAACGTGAGCGGAAGCCCTCAGAGTTCCACGTCAGTCGCTAGCGAAAAGAAGTCTGGCGAGAACAATGACGTGAGGATACATGCTGCAGGTTACCAAAAATCGTTTCCCAACTGTAAGGAATTTTCCTGAATTCCTTATCGGGGTTGACTGCTTCGCGTACAACCCGATTTTCGGAGTTCGCACGTTCGGCCGATTTCAACGCTGCCGAGGCTCCTCGCGTCGCCTTCGGCATTTCCATCGCCAAACCTGCACCCAACCTCGTTTTCCGAGGTTTCCTCCTAGCTAGGCTAGCCCTACATTAGTCTGTGCATTCATTGTATTCTCAGTTGATTCAGTCACAGCCTCGATATTCGTTTACCTGCGCACTCTCTTTTACAACTCATAACACCAACTGTCTTAGGCTACAACTGTGAAGCTGAAACAGTAGAATATCATTTTACATACACTTATTCACACTATATAAAATCAAAATCTATTATTTCCAGCCAGATTTATGACAAAATTTATAAATTTTTTTCCACCTTCCCCAACCCAGAAGTGGATTGGTTCTGCAATGCGTTGTTCATGAATATATTCAGTTTTGAACATAAGGGGTACAGCCACAGCAGAGCTGATGACGAGATACTCCTAACGAACCACTTTCCGCCGCACAACCTCCGCCTCTCTACTTTGTGGTGGTGGTGTCCCTTTTTGTGGGCCGTGCTCGAAGGGCGTATTTCCAGACGGTACTCGAACAGTTCAGCCTTTGAACTATCGTCCCCCATTGACGTTTCACACCAGCAACTAGTAATGTATGCAAAGCAGCTGGTGTCGGAGAGGGAAGTCGCAGTATGGATGGACACCGACTTCGAAGAAGCCCTCAGTATGGATGTTTGCCCGCGCCACATTTCCTCCCCCAATCCCCTCCTTTTCCCCCACCCCTCCCCGGCCTAAACCCTCATCCCGTCACTTCCCTGCTTCCACAATAAATCTCCTCTGCTTTCAATTAGTCTGTATCGTCGTTTCTTTCCTTCACTCTTCATATCTAGTCTCCCTGACGCTCTCTCTCATTCGAGGTCATGGTGGCGGCATGTAGGTCACTTTTTCTGGTTCTAAGTGTGCTGAGGAGATGAGATGGCTTCGACAACATACCTCCTAACAGGAATCATGTGTGAAGTCACGTGTAGGCAACCGCGCGTTAAGCCGCCATGATTGAATGACGTCTTGACATAAACAGCGCGTTCGGCCGTTGTCAGCAACCCGCCGTAGCAATGTCCGGCCTGGAGCGAGTGCCTGTGGCTGGGAACATGTTGCTGCAATGACTTGCGCACCACCCGGCTACTTGATAACATGTGAGTTTCTAACTTGCGAGCTTCTGATGTGCGATGTCATTGTTGGATTGTCATTCGCACATTTCGATTGTGCCGTTTCTTATCGTTCTTGGTCAATGGCTGGCATATGATGCGACAATAAGCTAACACTTATGCTACACTCTGATCGGATCGATGATCCGTGTTGAAACAACCTTACACCTCTGATAATCTGATGCCAGCTCTTGAGCAAGGGCAGAAGGGAGCTTGATTGCGAGACTCACCTGCCGTCGTCCTCATTTTCGTCTATACCATGAGGCACGCTGAAAGTTCTTGCTGTTCTCGTTCTCTGATTATTGTTCGGCAGCCGAGGTTCTGATTACGAGTTTCTGTAGTCCGCGCATTTCCATTATGCCGTTTCTCACAGTTCTTGATCAATGGCCGGCATATGATCGTTACTCTATCACTTATGCTCCGATCGGATCGGTGATCCGTATGGAAAAAAACTTACACCTTTTACAATCTGATGTCCGACCTTCGCCGTCATTCTCATGTTCCTCTATGTCATGCAGCATGCTGTAATTTCCTGTAGTTTTCGTTCTCATTGGTGTTTTGTCGGCATGTTCCTGAGCACAGTCATTACACTCCCCCCTGGGCTGAGCTGAGATCTGATGAAGTTTCAGTCCCATGATTGTGCGAGAGCTACTCGGTGCTTCGTGTTGCGGAGTAACGACTTTTTTCGTGTGTGACTCCGTGTCAAAATAGCCCGTACATTTCTTGCTAAATACGGCACAGATCGTCTGCTTGGTGCAGCTGTTGCTCTGACGCTCAATCCGTGTTCCATTCTTTATTTCTGGTTCTCAGGTGGAGGAGAGAAGCTTGAAATGTGATGTGACGACGACCACAAACCAGTGAGCGGATCTGAGGTGTCATTTCTCGTGGATGAAACACAACTCTGGCGTCAGAAGGAACGACCGGAGGCGACGAACCTCAGAAGCTTGTGCCCGTTTATCGCTGAAGCAGATTTCCATTCGTGCAAGTACTTGATTGCCTATATTTAGAAGCTGTTGTAACCAATACTCTACTTGATAAGCAGTGTGACATTGAATTTTGACCTCGATTTTTTAAAAGCTTCATGATTTAAATGAACGGGTTGCCCGATGAGTTTAGGGTTTAGGGTAATCCGTTCATTAGGGTTTACATTTGTCATACCGTACCTCTCTTCCTACGGTATAGTAGGAAACTTGCTTGTGGATGCAAGGTTATTCCTACTCCGCTACTGGAGCTACCTACCTCCAATTGTGTTGAAGGCTGGCTTGTCTTCTAAAACATCGTGTCACTGAGAGCTACTGGCCCATGCAACCAGCGGAAGGGATTAGGTACATAGTTCTCCTGCTAATCAACGCCAACAACTTGTGTTTTAAAGCCGGTGAGACACGGACAAAAAGTAGCACTGGAAATTTTTTGTACACTTGATATGCAGCAATTCGCGCCACACAACTAACAGCTTTGCTACTAGCTGGGAGAATAGGAGCACCTTGTTGCCAAATAACATCTCTGGTTACTCAACAGAAGGATGACAACGGAAACGCCTTAGCAGTTAGAGCAGGTGCAGCTGCTGCCGCACTTGCACTCGCCGCCGCTAGCGCACCCGCAGCCACCGGCAGCAGCAGTCTTGCATCCGCAGGGGGCGTTCTCAGCAGTGCACGTGCAGCCCTCTCCGCAGCTGCAGGTAGCGCCGGCGGCGGGAGCAGCGGACTTGCATCCGCAAGGGGAGTTCTCCGCAGTGCACGTGCAACCCTCCCCGCAGCTGCAGGTAGCGCCAGCGGCGGGAGCAGCAGCGGACTTGCATCCGCAGGGAGAGTTCTCCGCAGTGCACGTGCAGCCTTCGCCGCAGCTGCAAGTGGCGGCGGCAGCGGTCTTGCAGCCGCAAGGGGAGTTCTCAACGGTGCAGGTGCAAGCCTCGCCGCAGGTGCAGGTGGTGGGAGCCATTTTGCGTGTCGAAGACCAAATGAAAGAAGCCGAACTCTAAAAGGTTGTCACTTGATGAGCGTAATTCAGAGCGTGAACTCGCGAGAGAGAGCTAGTAACAGTTGATCGAGAAGCAGAAATTCGGATGTTGAGATTGGGAAAGCGATTGGTATTTGTAGGCCCGCTTCGCTACCGACGTGACGTGGAAGTGTTCGTTTTTTGCGGCGCGCTGGCGTTGAGGCGGGCGTGCGGTTGCACTGTTGGCGTGTGTCACAGAATCAACGCAGCGCGCTTCTAGAATGTTCGAATGAGGTTATTCTGCTTTCGTATTACCTTCTTGGAATGTACCACGAAGTTTGTATTTTCCACCTCTGTTCTATAAGTCTTCAGCTGTACCGTAAGTGTCGATGTCTGACTTCGGCTGGTTAATCGAAGATGCTTTTAAGCCAATAACTAATGAGCCGGTTTGCGAGGGCTATCAATGGTGTCGGCACATCGCCATGACACGTCGTAAAGTCGCCACGTCGCTTATGTCGCCACGTCTCGCACCTGATACCACATAGCGATTGAGTCCAGGCATCAAACAATGTGTGGTTACCAACTTTCGTTTTCCCGCCAAATTCACCACCTCACTCATAGAGATAGACAAGCCGCTCGAGTGCAGCCACAAGTTCAGCTGCCTCGGCCTTGCCTCGCTTCGTAAAAGCTGTTGGTAAGAAAAGGATAACATATATATCTTCCAAGTCCTCGCTCGGCCTATGTTACCTATTTCGAGCTTTGTACTTACGTTCTGATATATTTCCTCGTTTACCGCTGTGAAACCGCTGTGATCAAGGGCTTCCAGCGTTCGGAATTAGCGGACATAGATATGGAAACCATAGCTTCAGCCGATGCGGGGAGTCCGGAAGTCCCGGCCGTGGAAGTCACGTCTATGCAGTTCGCTTATCCCGGCGAGCCTCCGTTAATCTCCAAGTTTAATCTGACACTGCCACGTGGCAGCCGCTGCCTTCTGATTGGAGCCAACGGTGCAGGCAAGACGACTCTCCTGAGAGTGTTGGCGGGAAAGCACATGGTTGGTGGAAAGGACGTCGTTAAAGTGCTCGGTCGCTCGGCATTCCACGATACAGCTCTCTCCTGCGACGGTTCTCTCGCGTACCTCGGTGGTTCCTGGAGCAAGTCCGTTGGCTGTGCGGTGAGTGTGCCTTGAAACGCATCTACTTGTATGACGTACGGACGATGCCCGATAGAGCATACATAGCGCCCCTACGACGGCTCTCTCGCCTACCTCAGTGGATTCTGGAGCAAGTCCGTCGGCTGTGCGGTGAGTTAGCTCTCTCGGAATCCCGTTCTGTATAATAGCACAGTGATTATTTGTAACCTTGTGACTTTTGAGTCCACTAAGTGGAATCCACGACAACAGCTGCACACTCCTTGTTGAGTTTCAAAAGCCTCACGGAAGTCACAATGTGAAACACTTACACACAGCTTTCAGTCGCTCTCCGGCTGCTTCTCAGAAGCCTTAGGGTCCGACCCACTACTGTTGCACCACTCTCAGTGGGCGTGTGGCAAAGCACCACTCTCAGGCTTCTGCCCACCTCGTACTGCTGATCTGAGTCCGCGTAATTCTGCCGGTCCCTCACATGCGTTCGCTCATCGCTTTTCCCGTGTTCCTCGTCCCCTTGCACACCGCTTGCCCAGTGTCCCTCTTACTCCCTCGCCCATCGCTGATTCCCTTTCCCCACTCGCCGCAGGGCAAATTTTCTCCGCAGCCCGACTCTAATGCGGAGCAAATGACTACGGCGTGGCTGACGTGGACGTAATTTGCAAGGGCCTCCGTGTAGAGTTGCTGGAGTTTCACGTGTTCTCCTGTTGATTTGATTATGCTGTCCTTGCCATGCATCCCCTGCTACAGGGCGAAGTTCCTCTTCAGGGAGACTTCAGCGCCGAGCACATGATCTACGGCGTTGCTGACGTGGACGCAATCTGCAATGGCCGCCTTGTAGAGTTGCTGGAGTTTCACCTCCCTCTTTCTGTTGATTAAATCCTTCTGTTCTACTGTTCTTGCCTTGTCTCCCCTGCTACAGGGCGAAGTACCTCTGCAAGGCGATTTCAGCGCGGAGCACATGATCTACGGCGTGGCTGACGTGGACGCAGCGCGCAGGGACCACCTGGTGGAGCTGCTGGACATTGATCTGACGTGGCGCATGCACCGCGTGTCAGATGGGCAGCGGAGGCGAGTGCAGATCTGCATGGGCCTGCTGCGGCCCTTCCAGGTGAGCCATGAAACTAGCCAGGTGACTCTAGCCAGAATTGCGAGGTTGGTCGGCTGTTCAATGTGCTGTTCAATGTATAACCTCCTATGGCATTCGCGCCAGCCGCGCCGTGGGCCGGATGGGCAGCGGAGGCGAGTGCAGATTTGCATGGGGCTGCTGTGACCCTTCCAGGTGAGCTGCTGCTGAGGAGCCATGGTTCAAGAAAAAATAGCCAGGTGAAGTGTAGTTGCACTTTAACCTTCTTTGGAACATGCGGCCCGGGCAGGGTGGGGGGAGGAGGTCAGTGCAGATCTGCATGGGGCTGCTGCGACCCTTCCAGGTGAGCTGCTGCTGATGGGCCCTGGTTCTAGCCAGAATTGTTACCGCGTGTCAGATAGGCAGCGGAGCTGTTAACTTCTGACCACCTATGGCGTCTGCGCTGCGGGCAGGGTGGATAGCGGAGGCGAGTGCAGATGTGTGTGGGCCTGCTGCGACCCTTTCAGGTGAGCTGTTGCTGATGGGCCCTGATTCTAGCCAGAATCGCCAGAATTTGACATCCTATGGAGTATGCGCCACGGGTTCGGTGTTAGTGGAGGAGGTGAGTGCAGGTATGCATGAGGCTTCTTTGAGCGTTGCAGGTGAGCTCTCAGTTTGATGAGCCCTAACCCTAGCCAGGATCGCCAGCACTAGAAGGAGCTGGTAATATTGACATCTTGTGTGTATGCGCTGCAGGCAGGGTGGATAGCAGAGGCAAGTGAACATGTGTATGGGGCTGCTGGTTATGATGACTTTTTACCTAGATGTTGGCTCCAAGCTGGAATTTTCTTCCTATATTTCCCACCCTTGCCAAATGCCTCAACTGCTGTTGCTGGACGAGGTCACAGTCAACCTAGATGTTGTCTCACAGATGGACCTCCTCCTTACATACTTCCCTCCTCCTTACATACTTCCCTCCTCCTTACATACTTCCCTCCTCCTTACATACTTCCCTCCTCCTTACATACTTCCCTCCTCCTTACATACTTCCCTCCTTACATACTTCCCTCCTCCTTACATACTTCCCTCCTCCTTACAGACTTCCCTCCTCCTTCCCCCTTCTCATGGCACAGGTGCTGCTGCTGGACGAGGTGACAGTAGACCTAGATGTTGTCGCCAGCTTATGTCTCTCCCCCTTATGACCTAGGTGTTCATTCAATGCTTCCCCCTCCCCCTTGCGACAGGTGCTGCTGCTGGACGATGTCACAGAAGACCTAGATGTTGTCGCCAGGATGGATCTCCTCCTTACATACTTCCCTCCTCCTTACATGCTTCCCTCCTCCTTCCCCCTCCCCTTGCCGCAGGTGCTGCTGCTGGACGAGGTGACGGTAGACCTGGATGTTGTCGCCAGGATGGATCTCCTCTCTTTCTTCCAACAAGAATGTGAAGAGGTGAGCTGTGATTCGTTAGCAGCGCTGTCGGGGAGGACAGAACAGCTCTGGGATAGCACACTGTTGGTGACTGTTGCTGGTTTATTGCACTAGCGTATGGTGTGTGCCTCACAATGTTTGTCTGATTGCTGATGGTATTGTGTACGATGTGTGTACTGGCAACCTTGCAGACCTTGAAGTCATCATCTTGTTACTCCTGTCCCCTTTCTCTCCCTGTTTTCCTTCCTTTGGCAGAGAGGAGCTACTGTAGTGTATGCAACACACATATTTGACGGTCTGGAGTCTTGGGCAAGCCACCTCGCTTTTGTCTCTTCTGGCAAGTTGCAGCGGCTGGAATCAGCGGATCAGGCGACACAACAATCTGCTGATAGCCACAAGCCAACTGCATTGCAACTACCATCATTGCTGGAAATGGTGGAGCCTTGGCTGAGGGAGGACAAGGCTAAGAGGGAGAAAGAGGTGGAAGAGGCAAAGAAGAGGGGAGATGTGCCTAAAAGAGTGGATCCATTCGCTGGTGCTGGTAGGCACATGGCATACTATCGGTAGTTGTGCACTGTTAACACTAGTCTAATTGAATGTTTATGGCATATGGCATAGAACGTAGAGACCTGTATCAAATCAAAGCGGAATCACACAACATCCTACCCACCAATGCATTACAATACAGTACAAAACAGCTTCTGATTACTCTAAACCAGTGTTAGGCGTGACGATATGCAGCAAATGCGCAGTCTGTAGAGAGTACACCGCTACTCTCATAGGAGCGGGGGGTACCGTCGAGGAAGCCCTTCCCCTCTTCGGCATCAGCGGAAACGCGGCGGTGCAGGGAAGCCACCAACTTCTGGAATTCCACTGCCCTCTGCGCGTGGTCCGCGCGGAAAGTCTGCCCCAACACGCCGTGAATCGCATCAGTGCGCGCAAATTTCGCCACCCCCACGTTGATGTGGACTTCCGCGTCCGTTGGCGTTTGGAGGCTCGGTTGCGCTATACGCAGCTTCACGTCAAGCGACAACAGCCCGTCGACTTCAAGAGTGTAGTAATCCACGTCGTACGGCCCCTCTTTCTCTTCCGCCTTGAATGTTATCGTGAGACCAGTGTCGTTGGATGGGAGAACAGTGTCGCCCAGTCGCATGCGCGGCTGAATTTGACCGTCGATTTCAATTATCCTCATGAATCCGTCGCCTCGTCGCTGCTGCTTACCGTTTCGTGCCACCAGTCGCGCGGTGTGCGTCGCACCATTCGTGAACCACACGATTCCAAGCTCCCTGTTCCGTGGAATGGGTAAGGACGGACGCAGAAAGTGAGTGAGAGCAGGAGTTTGCGAATGCCGTAGGCTGAAAGAAAAGGCAAGCTTCTTGGCCCAAAGAGGAGAAACGAGACTCACTTAATCCACGTGTGGACAGCCTTCCCATCCACAATGAGAGTGGCGTTCCTCGTGTCCTCGCTATAGTACCCTCGCAGCATCATGTTCACGTGAACCTCACGGTCAGTTAACAGGCAGAACGCGCAGTCCGGACGGCCGTTGAAGTCATAGCGCGTGCCGTGGGCGCCGACAAGATGCGGGTCGTTAGCAGCGTTAGGCTTGGCACAGCCTGGCCCGATACGCCCCTGGTCTTTCGCGTTCGCTGCACCAGTTTCAATCCCGTATACGTATTTCGAACAATCCACCTTGCCCGCGTATAGGTTACACGTAGGAGGACTGCAAACAAAGGAAGAAAAGGGGTGACGTGACGTGATTCAGGAGGCTTAACGTGAGTTGAGAACAATTCTCCTCGGCGGAGCGTCGAATCGGCGGGCACAGGTCACCCTATACACGGTGTTTCGACGTGTAACTCGCTAGAAGGCGAGTAGCTCCCGCAGGTATCCAAGGACAGGCCATCTACGCACTTCTGTATCATCTCCTGGTGTGATGGGAACGGGCTCGCAGCTGAAAGGCTGACTGCTACTAGGAGCGATGATAGAACCAGCAGCGTCGCGAAGGTTTTGCCGGATCTGGAGAAACGAGTCGTGCCTCTGCGCATCGGCGCCATTGTGATAGGCTCTAAGGTGAGGTTGGAAAAGGTTGTTTGATATTACTGATCTGGATTCTGAAGAGAGCTTGTATGCTGCACCAGACTCACTGCACTACACCTGGATGGAATGAAGTGGTGTGGTGGGCCGTGATAGCGTTTTCGAGGTCCTGCTGTTGTGGGGGCGGTGAGTGGTAGACGGCAGGTAAGGCAAACATCACGTCGTGTCTTTCCGGGCTTTTAGGGTGTTTTGTTCTGGTTTTGCGTTGATTAGAAAACGGCGTCATCGTTTCTGCGACTGCTTCCGCTACATACCACAATAGCGTTCTGGTTCTGCCTACTAGGTCGATGGACAGGTGGTCCATTCACCTGGGACTGTGAAAGGTAAGCAAGTCCCATGTGTTGTGAATTGAAAACAGCCGTGGGGCATTGTGTGTGGTAAAACATATTATCGGCAGAATGTTTAGTTCTCAGAAATGCAAATCTCCGAAGGCGGGAATGGCAGAGCGCAGTGACGCACAGTACAGGAGGTTGCTTCTGTTTCAAATGGTGAATGTTGGCATCCCTGCCTGCCAAAACTACAGTGCGAGAGACTGTAGTTTTCTGACCTGAACCAGGTCTCCTCCCAGGGTTTTCTTCTCCTGACACCGAGTCGCATGTCACGTTACACTTAGAGTTTTGCCGATCGACTTATTTTGGCCGTCCACGTAGTAGCCTCGTAGGCAGGAGAGCTAACGTATCGTGCTGCCTGGAAATGCATCTGAACAAATTCGCACTCACATGAACCGTGTGAATGTATCTGGATCGCTAGCGTCAAGTCAACTCAAGGTGCGTATGCATATGGGACGCCTTCGTATATGTTAAAAACCTTATCACCACACCTTACATGCAACCATAATACTATATTTCTATTGCTCTTCTAATGCGTCCAGGTACCAGTTATACGGTAGTTGACAGCAATTCCTGGATTTGCACAAACAACGTATAATCATTCAGCAAGCTTTCTGAATATGATATCATTAATCTCTGAATATTGCACTGCTTATAGCAGACAAACTAATTACTATCACCACATCCAAAGGAACAATGTTGCTGTACAAGAGCTGCGGATAGGTTTAAAATAGTATCGGAGAAGGGGTACTTTTTGATTTGTGCTTTTTGATTTTTTTCCCGCCTGGCTTCAGAGGGAAAATCCACGAGTTTTTCAGCATGAAATGGCTATCATTCTGGCCGTTTCCAGCTCATGTTGCGAAAGTTTGCGTTCCACCTTGCTCTGCATGCTAGGCCGTGTTAGTACGGTGTATTGATATATCGAATGGCGGCCCCCGCCGAGCTCGCTGCGATGGATCCAGGCGTTTTGGATGACATCGATGCGATGGTGAAGGATCAAGAGCGAGTGGTGAGTACAGCGGCTATATTAGAATAAATAATTCTCTCCTAATGGCTGCGATCGAGAAGGAGAGGAAGGTGATCGAAGCGGTCTCTCAAGTACGTGAATCTTGGGCTCGAGCAAGCACAAACTTTGTTCATTATCCCCGCTAGAGGAGTTGTCAGGACTAGTCTGAATCCATCCGTTCCTTGGTTTATTATGACGCTTCTCACATTTACCTAGTTTCTCTGAGTGTACTCGATGTTAGAACCGTTGCGGCGTATCCGAGTTGCAGCTTGACATTCCTCCGAGCCTTCCATTCGCACTCTTTTGCAGGCAATGAACCGGAGGCGTACGTACGTGCGTACGTACGTACATACGTTCGTACGCGGGTTCCGTGCCTTCCGATTCATAATCCGCTCGTCTACTTGCGAGAGGTTTCATTTCACCTAGCTACGCCTACCGTCCGTTCATCTCCCCTTCCGTCACAGGTCACGGCGAAGTTTCTCTCTCGCTCGCTCTCCCTGCCTCTGCGCCAGGCGAAAAGGTGCGTACGAGTGCGAAGTTTCTCCCGTTCCGGTTCCCGCTTCTGCTTTTTTTTACTCCCGTTGCAGCCTTCTCCTCCAACCCTTCCTGTTCCCGCACTTCCTCCGTCACCACTTTTCCGCCACCACTTTTCCGCCATCACTTTTCCGCCACCCTCCTGTCCGCCTCTCTCCCTCCACCTCCGCTTTCCGCCACTCTCCCCCCCCGCCACCCCCTTGTCCGCCATTCTCTCGTCCCCGCTCCCGTCCGCCAGCCTCTCTTTCCTGTCGTCATTCCCCACCTCTGTGCTGGTTAACCTGAGCTGGTTACCCTGAGCTGGTTACCCTGAGCTGGTTACCCTGTGATGTTATCCTGTGCTGATTTGCTGGTACCGTTGCTAATTTCCAGTGCTAGTTACCCTGAGATGGTTACCCTGTCGTCCCCTTCGCCCACGCAGTGTGTTACAGGGTTACTGGGAGCAGCACAAGGAGGAGGTGACAGCTGTATGGGTCGTGTCGGGATGGGTTAGTAATGGAGATGGGATGAAAGCAGCAGAAGGAGCGGCAGTGACAGCAGCAGGAGCGGAAGCCGTGAGGGCAGCAGGAGAGCAGCAGATGGTGAAGGAGTTCCGCATGCGGCTGGTGCCCTCTGCTCACCTCGCTGGTAACCCCTGTCCCCTGGTTGCTTTGCACTGCGGGAAAACCGCGTTTATGTTCTTCACTAGTATTTTACATGTTCACATCACCCGTGGCGCAGCAGGAAGAGGAGGTGGTGTTTGAGTCGACGTGCCGGATTCGCCACGTATTTGAAGTAGTATTTTGAGACGTCTCAAAACACTACTTCAAACATGCAGCAGGAAGAGGAGCCGGTGTTTGAGTCGACGTGCCGGATTTCCTGACTCTTTTTCTCTGCCCCATATGCCCGTGAAATTTGTTCAGAAACACAGGAGGCAATGGGGGGAGCCTCAGCCCACATCTACAGCGTGCAGCGCCGGTTACCGCGAGACTTGGCTGTTCTCTGTGCTGCCGATCCGATCGGCAGTGGTGCGAGAGAGAGCAGGTTTGTGAGCATGTTTGTGAATGAATGAAGCATGTGTGAGGCTAGTGCATGAACTGTGCCTCTGACTTTTGAGTCGACTCAAAAGTCACCTCGAGAGAGAGCAGGTTTGTGATCCGATCGGCAGTGGTGCAAGAGAGAGCAGGTTTGTGATCCGATCGGCAGTGGTGCAAGAGAGAGCAGGTTTGTGATCCGATCGGCAGTGGTGCAAGAGAGAGCAGGTTTGTGAGCCTGTGATTGAAGCATGTGTGAGGCTAGTGCGTGAACTGTGCCTCTTCTGCTGGTTAGTGTGCATTTTATGCAGAAGAGGCACAGCTTCTGCACTAGCCTTAGTTGAGTTGAGTGTGCAGTGGTGGTTACCGTGTTACCCGGCTCTTCTCTGTGCTTCTGATTTCATGGGCAGCAGTGTAAGACAGAGCATGTGTCTGAGCAGGTGTGTGAGCAGGTGTGTGCGAGTCCAGCCATGCTATACTGCTGTTATCCCTCCATTGCAATCTGATCTGAGTGCCGTCCAGGCCCCACCACCTGCCCTGAATTTCTCGATTTCTCTCTACGCGACCCTACCCACCCGCACTCACCACAGTTGCTTTTCCTTTTCCACCCACCAAGTGTTTTCCCCTCCCATCCGCCGCCGTTTTCTGATTCTTCCGCCCCCCAACCCCCTCTTGCAGTCTGAGTGCCGTCCAGCCAGCCCCCACCAATCTGCCTGGAGATCCTTTCCAAACGGCCCCACCCGTCCGCACACATCACTGTTGCCCCTGTTTTTTCCCCACCGTCTGTGTTCTCTCCCTCTCCTCCCCTGCAGCCTGAGTGCCGTCCAGCCTCCACCCATCTGCCTGGAAACGCTTTCCAAGCGGCCCCACCCGTCCGCACACATCACTGCTGCCTCCTCCGTGCCCTCCCGCTCTCCTGCTGCTGCTGCTGCTGCTCCCCCTGCTGCTGCTGCTGCTGCTGCTGCTGCTGCTGCTGCTGCTGCTGCTGCTGCTGCTCCTGGTGCCGCTAAGAAAGATCAGCACGTGCAGCACAGGCAGCATCCGAAAACAGAGGCGATTCAATCGGGAATCAAGCAGGAGAGGGAAGGAAGCAAGCAGCCGCCGGTGCAGCAAGGGGGGCAAGCGAAGCACGCAGAGCCCGTGGGGGCAGTGAAGCCAGGCCAGCTAGGGGCTGCGGCGCTAGGCGTGTCAGGAAATGCGGGCCAGCTAGATGCAAAGAGATTGAAGGGCAGTGGGGAGGGGTCAGCTGTGCCTACTCCCCCTCCTGCTGCTGCTTTTCCTGCTGCTGCTACTACTACCACTGCTCCTGCTGCTGCTACTACTACCACTGCTCCTGCTGCAGCTTCCAGCAGGCGAGAGAATAAAGGGGCCAAGCAGTCTAGTGCTGGCGGTGCTTCTGGTGGGGTTGGTGTTGCTGACAAGGGGAAGAAGAACACCCTCATGGGTATGTGGAAAAAATCAAAACCTCAGAGTGAGGTGCAGGGAGAAGGAGCTGAAAAGGCTAGAGAAGCTAAA